AGAAGGCTGCAACCTTTATGCCAAAATAGAGCATCAAAGTTGGACTTTAGTTACTTTGGGAGTTGTAAATACTACTGTAGAAGCAACATAGTGATTTCCATGCTACTTTATAGAACTATCCCTGAATACATGAAATTTTTTCCATCTCTTTGCCAACAGAAGATAGAATTTTTAAATCATAGGACCATAGACTTAGATCTGAAAGGGAATTTAGCAAACCCCATTATTTTACATACTTAATGGTATTTAATTATAATGCTTATAATACAGAAACAGTCTGAGAGAGGGTTAGTGACTTGCCCAGGTTAATAACAATCAGTAAATGTGAAAGAATGTCATATATGCCCTACATCACTTCAGAAGTTGTTTGTTTTATGTTTCATTGGCTTATAGGTGCCATAATTGTCCCCTAACACGATCTAGTTTTTCACCTTAGATTTTTTCCCCCCTTATGGTTGTAGCCTGGCCCAGGCCACTTTGCATCTCTGGGCCCTGAAAATAAATGAGTACCTTTCATCTTCTTCAACCTCCCATCTACCAATACTTGATCCATAAACTCAAGTATACATTTGCCTCATTCCCTTGCCTCTTTCTATGTGATCACTGCTTTAAACTATTCCATCCCTGAAGGCTTCAGAAAGTTTGGTTCCTAACCTGGCTGTGATGGAATCCAGAGTAAAACAGTTGGATGGTGTCCAATACCTATTTTTGAGTCGACTTTGGAGACAGCAGTTTTAATTGAATGATGAGGTTGGAAGCCAAACTGTAGAAAATTAAGAAGAGAGGAAATGGAGGCACCTAATACTGACAGAAGAGAGGAGGGAAATATGATAGACGTATCAAGTGAGTTTTTGAAGATAGTAGAGACATGGGCCTATTTGCAGACAGTAGGGAAATAGCCAAAAGAGAGAGTCTGAACATAAGTGAAAGATAATAGAGGGGGCAATCTACTAGAGAAAACAGGATGGAATAGGATCAGTTGTACATGGAGATGGGTTTGCTTTATCAAGAAAAACTAACTCATTATGTGAAATAAGGGTGAAAGAGGAGATAGAGACAGAAGGTATCTCAGCTGAGAGTTTGTGTGGGAAGGGAGCCATGGGAGATTTGAGGAGAGATGAAAAGGTTTGGAAGAGCAGCTGTAGCAAATGGGATAGTGACAATTAAGAAAATGTAAACGGATTGACTTGCAATAGTTTAGGCCCAATTGAGATTATATAACACAAATGTGTAGTAGGCCCAGTCAACATAGTTTCTTTATTTTCTCCAGTTTCTTTCAGATACAAGTATGTAGGAGTAAAGGCAATGGATGATGGGAGCACAGGCTTATCAGTGCATGATTCCTGGTATCAAGGGGTCAAAAAGACTCAAGAGAGGAGGATAATATAAAGTTTAACTGGTTCACCGATGGGTTAGATAGAAAAGGGAGAATGAAGCTAGCTCTGGGGTTATGGCCTATAGAAGAGCTAAGTGGTTGAAGGGCTAGTGGTCACAGTGTGGCCAGAGAACAGAGTTTGGGTTTGTAAGTCAGAGGAAGAGGTAGAAAGACAATAGACTGTGATCATATAAAAGAATTTCACATTTCGTGAACATGGAAGCCCTAGGTTGAAATTTCCATGATTCCCTCAATGCATAAAACCATCCAGCTGGAGTCTGGACAAAAATACTGGGCATCATCCCAAGTTCCAAGTCCAAAGTCTACCCTGGGCTCAAGTCCCAGACACCCCAGCTTCTCAGTGCTTGCTATACAAGGCACATGTACATGCACAGAAGTCTTTCTGTACCATAGGTAATCCTTATAGTGGTAGGGCACTTTCTTCTGGTACTTGCCCAAAGATTACCTAAAATTCACTGCCATAAATCATGGAATTGCAAACTCACTCATTAGGAAAAGAAAAAAAAACAGTACACTTGAAGTAACAAAGAATGTCAACTACTTGCATGTTTTAAGCACAAGCATCTATCTCACCTTAAGTAGTTGTAGGGCATTTTTCTTTCATAAAAGGCACGTAGTCTTGATCTGTTTAAATGCAAAAAGACTATGAACATTTCTACTAGACAGAAACAACTAGTGATTTGATAGTGATTGAGCAACTAGTGAAATTAATTTCTATTAACTTAACATCAGTACTTACATAGACTTTATCAGTATTTACACAGCCAAGCAATCAACAAATGAAAATTTTGCAAAGTTACAACAGAACTTTGAGTTTTGCTCTCTAAGGGCATGATAAGCCAGTTCATAACTACCCTTATAAATGCATAATCACTATGACTTCAAGCATAAATCTACTTCATAGATGTGAGTCAAATTACAAATACATATATCCACTTGTGTATATATGCATGTGTATATGTATATTATATATATAAAACTATATATTGTATTGTGTATGTAGAGAACTATTTATATCTAATGTATGTATAGATTTATCTATATATGTATGTATGCATAAATGTGTGTACACACATGTGTGCACATAGGTATTTCTATTCACGGGTAAATACATTTATTAGATACTAGCCAGCTCTGGCAATGCATACAAGATAATTTTTTTTTTTACTGAACAATTCTTGTGTGTGTGTGTGTGGCAATCTGGGTTAAGTGACTTGCCCAGGGTCACATAGCTTATAAGTGTCAAGTGTCTAAGGCCGCATTTGAACTCAGGTCCTCCTGACTCTACGGCCCATGCTCTACTCCCCCTGCCTCCTCTCCCCTTCCCTTGTTTCTCAGAATTGTCATCTAGTTGTTTCTTCATTGGTTAAGTCTATCAGGACTTAGGTGCTTCAATAATGTTAGTGTAACATTATCAGAATGATCCACTTGGATTTGGTTCAAGTATGTACACCTATTCTTGGCAAGAGCTAAAGAATTTTAAAAGACTAGACCAAGGGGGCAGCTAGGTGGCACAATGAATAGAGCACAGGCCCTGGAGTCAGTAGGACCCTAGCTCAAATCTGGCCTCAGACACTTGACACTGACTAGCTGTGTGACCCTGGGCGTCACTTAACCCCAATGACTAGCCAAAAAAAAAAATTTTCAGTTTTCGCTCAGATTCTTACAATCTGGCCAATAGTTCACAGATGCTCAGATTCCTTAAAAGTCTGGCTAATATGGTGGATCTTTAATAAACCTTGTCTCTGGCTGAAAGAAGGCTTGGGTTGAATTCTTTTTGGCAGGACTAGCATGTCATGATTTTGGGGTCCCAGCACCCCTAAACTTCTAGACCTCATCCGGGGGGGAGAAAAAAATTTAGAATTGAAAATCTTATAAAAGTTAATGTTGAAAACTATCTTTACATATAATTGGAAAAAATAAAATACTAAAAAAAAAAAACTAGACCACTAGATCAGATCATGCTGTTACACTTTAACCCTCATTTATTCCTTAAAAATATGTTCAACAGCAAAAAAAAAATGTTCAATAATATTTTTTTCTGGAAAAAACTGCTGTTGGAATTTTTTTAATTTAAATTAGTTACTTACTGGATTTTCAAGGATTTTTATACATAATTTTGTTTTTAAAATATCTATGGGAGCTAAGATAGAAAAGACCTGGAATAACACACACAGAAGGATAAAAATAAATTTTTAGTCATTCTTTGACTCTAAAATGTCAGAAGACATCCCAGGCCCAGGGGCTCTGAATTCCTTAGCTGGTTGATTGGTTGCTGTCCTTTGTTCTCAAAAAAGACCAAAAATGACATCACTATGTTGGAGTCAGGGTACAGTGTGCCTGACTGGCTGATCAGGCCAATATGAGTTCAGAAGGCTCTACTACATGTCGGGCACAAATAGTACATACAAACATTTGGTGTGGAGATGTTTCTAAATTTGCGCATCTCAGGTTTCTTTTGAGTTACTGCAATTCTCATAGAGCAGTAACTTTGATGTGGGCATGCCATGCTGGGTGGTCCTTTGCCAGTGACTCCCAAGTCATGCAACTGATTATAAGGTTCCTCAGAGAGACCTTAAGAGTATCCTTGTATTGCTTCTTCTGACCTTTGTGTGAGTTCTTGCCTTGTATGAGTTTTCCCTAAAAGTCTTTTAAGCAAACATACATTTGATATTTAAACAAAATGACCAGCCCATTAGAGTTGTGCTCTTTGCAGTAGAGTTTGAATACTGTTAGTTTAAGTGATTTTATCTACCACAAAACTGCCCAAAACTCATCCAGAAACTCATGGGCTACAGGAAAGAAGGCCTGCCAGAAAAGCCAACAGCAGTATAGACAAACAAGACAGAAGTCTCCTAGCAAGAGACAGATATACTTATAGCATGCAGAGCTAAAACAGAAGGCTCCCACAAGAAATTTCCAGTGTTGTCAGAAACCCACAACATGAAGCTTTGAAGCAACTGGGAGCAGGGTGATAACATATCAACAAAAATGTTATTAAAAAAGCAAATGGTCAATTTTTTTCATATTAAGCATACTTTATTTTATAAAATATCCAATACTGTTAGGTAGATTTCTATTCAAAATAATTTGGCACAGTGGATAGAGTGCCAGGCATGGAGTCAGGAAGACCTGAGGTCAAATTTCGTCTCAGGCACTTAACAGCTGTATGACCCTGGGCAAGTCACTTAACCCTGTTTGCCTCAGTTTGCTCAACTGTAAAATGAACTGGAGAAGGAAATGGCAAACCACTCCAGTATCTTTGCCAAGAAAACCCCATATGGGGTCACAAAGAGACAGGACTGAAACAACTGAACAACAAAACATTTGGAGCTGTCCAAAAGAGGAATGGACTACCTCAGGGAATAGTGTTTTGCACATCAATGACAGCCTTAATGAAGATGACCGCCTGTCGGTTTGCTAAAGATGGATTTTTTAAAAATTTGAAATTAATTTAGATGATCTCTAAGGTCCTTTCCAATTCTGTTCATGATTTTACATTAATGAAACTTGTATTTTTTCCTTTTCAAAAAAAAAAACTTTACTTCTCCACACGTACAGAAATACTCTATCTCTAAACCGATTTAAGACAATTATTCCAATGTCAAAGGAAAAAGAGGAAATGTTTAATTTTTTGTTATTGCTAGAAAATTCATTGTAGAAAGTATTCTTAGTTATATGAAATTATTTTAGTGTCACAAATTGGAACTTATTCTCCTCTTAGAAAAAACTTGAAATTAGTAGTATACAAAAAGGGCCATAGCAATTCAAGGCATTTTAGAAACATAAGTGATCTTTTGAGAAGTTATTGGTAAGAAGAACAATCAAAAATATAAGCAACTTCAAATCCAGTACAGACACCATCTATATTTATGCACAACCTGGAAAACCACTGTATACTGTGCAAGAGTATGAGAGGCCAAACTTTAAACAAGAACCATACACAATTATTTAGAAAAATCATCCAAACGCTGCTCTTCTTCCTACAGGTAACACTCTTAAATCCAATTTGATCAAGTTTACTTGATTAAGATGCCCTGGAAATGAGCATGTCTGATTGAAATACAACATGTTAGTATTATCATGATATATTTAGAGCCTTTCACATAACTATTGCTAGTATTTATAGTTAACTCTAACCTATAGAAACCTATATTGAAATCCTTAATCATATGGAATCTCAATTAGATGAGTTATAAAAACAGAAAAACCTGATGATCAAAATATATTTTCTTTATAAAATCCACACAAGATTTATTTCAGTGATCTTCAGTCCCAGATTGTGAACTTGGAGGGGAGGAATTATGTGAGGCCTGTATTTTAGAAATCTACTAATCCACAGACCCACATGACCTCAAGACTAAATTGAAGATCATCACAGTGACAAGCATGAGACTATCCTATACATACCTCTAAATCAACATACAGTCATATTTATTTCATATTATCAATAGCGCCCATGACAATATTTCTAAAAACCTAAGCCACTTAGGCACAACTGTTGTGCCTAAGCATAACGCTGGTGAATACAGTCTTGGAGACTTTCTTTCACCATCAACTTCTTGTTTGAAAGATTCTCTGATTAAAATAAGTTTTCACTTGAAATGAAAGGAATGACCATAGAAATAGGCAGGTTAAAACATCTGTTTTGTGTAAGGCCTCTATTATCAGAAATATGGTTACCATTTCCTACTGTCCTATAAATATTGTTCAAGTTTATTAACATGTGTTTTCTTTTCAAAGAGTGGATTAGTCAGATTCTCACCGTTCTTAAGCAAATGAATGCAGATTTTACATTCAAGATTGGCCTCTAAAAAAGAAAATGGGAATGATGCACAATTCCAATCCATCTTTCACTAAATGTCTTTGTGCTTTTTTTGCAACTTTATTTTCCACTTTCAAATGACAAAAAGAGGCCCATGATTTACCTCTTAAAGAGGTAAGTGTGGGTGTCATATTAACCCAAAATACTGTTACTGAAACTTGATTCCTTGTGCCAGAGGAAGGTCTTTACTGTAGTTGATGGTGCTGGGGAAAAAAGAAAGAAGAAAAATTTTTTTAGAAAAATAGCTTTAATGTTTACAAAGCTAATTTAACTAAAGCATAATGTCTCTACACAGTCAGATTTCTCTTGGGAGGAGTTCTCCCAGACAAGGTTGCCAGGGTGAGGAGGAAGGAAGACACAGCAGACTGCTGAGACAAGTGGAAGAATAGGAGACAACAGGGGAAAGACACTGCACTGTACGAAGGGATTACTAATCAGAAATGAGCCATAAAACCAGCAACTGTTTCTGTAAAGAGCCATTTCCATGCTCTGGAGACAGAAGACTACTTCTGTGAGCCATGCACACTATTTTCTCTAGGCTAGTAAACCCTCAACTTGCTTCAGAAGACAGGCACTTGCACTGCTCCCATCTCATCATTATGGACAAAAGTAGTCACAATATAGAGATACCTATGGAAATGGCAATTTCTGAGCTTGGAGAAAATATGGGGAAAAAAATCAAATTCAGTTTGATGTAATGCGAGTGAGGGAAGATCTAGGAAGGAAATCTCCAGATCATTTTCTACTTTCAATGTTTTTCCGGCTTAGTCTAATTCTTACCAAGTAGATCGTCTCATATATTGCTTCCATGAATCACCTCCTGATTCTCTGCCACCACCAGTATGCTTCTCACCTCCTAAAACACCAAAACAATTTCACAACTCAGCTACTTTTTTTAAAAAATAAAATAAGAGTTTACTTGCCAAGGTAGAGTAGTATATAAAAGTAAGACAAGACCTATCACCATCAACTATGTTCCCCAATATAGTGGATATGGTACCTTCCTCCACTCAACCCTACATGTACCTTAATTCCTCCCCATTCATCTTGAACAAATATCTACTATGTCCAAAACAATGTTTAGTGCTATGGTTCAGGAACCAAAGGTAAAGAGAAAACAATGAGATACATATATAAATTCATATTTTTAGAAAAGACAAAATAAAAAAAGAAGAATCTGTTTATCTGATGTGGGAGAGGAAGAGAAGTTGGGTGAAGAAAGAAAACTATTTAAATAGAAATGAGGAAAGTTTAGGACACTTCTATCTCAATTGTCTTCTCCACCAGTTTTTTTAGTAAACAATGAACTCATCTTGAGCAAGGTGTACAGAGATAAGTTTAGGAGCTTAAATGAGTAGATAAGATTTAAAACAAACCCTAAGCATAAATGTTAGGGATTCAAGGGTACTAATGACTATAAGGTTAAACAACATGAGTCCTACAATGGGTAAGGATACAAATGGAAATCTATGGGTGCTAGAGGCAGTGAAAAGGACTGAGGACCAAAGGGAAGGCTCAGTAGGACTGAAGAAATGGAAGAGAGAGAAAGTTAGGACCTTACATAGTCAAAGAAAGGAATCTGAGATCTTGCAAATGGTACAATTCTGAGTGATGAGGATGAGCTGTGTTCGTGAATTGTGTAGTCAGGGTAGAAGTGAAATTCTCCCTGCTACTCCCTCTAATTAATGACTTTTCTCCTCCCCTGGACTAACAAACTTCCAAAAACAATACACTGGAGGCCTCTCCTTCATCGCTCCCCTATGTGGCAATGTCTTCATGATACAGCTTTCTTCCACACCATTCTGACTCTGCTCTCTTCAATATCACTAATATTTTCTTTGCTCCTAAAGCAATTGCCAGTACTAATGCAAGGGACCCCCAAATCTGCAGATCTGGCCCCATTCTCTCCCCTCAGCTCCAACCTCCTATCTCTAAATATCTATGTGTAATTGAATATCTGTACTTGGATGTCCCACCAGAACTTCAAACTCTCTATGCCTTCTTCACTGCTTGCCCCATCCCACCAAAAAAAGAACCCTAGCCCTTCTTGCATTTGATCTATTTCCATTAATACTACCATCTTACCAGTAACCTAAACTAGTAAGTTCAGCATCATCATTGACTCTTTTCCCATTCTCAAATATAGTTGCAAAATCCTGTTATTTCTACCTTTACAATCTCCCACCACCACTCATTGAAACCATCTTAGTCTGGACCCCTATTTCTTCTTACCTAGGTTACTGAAAGTTTCCTAGCTGATGTTTCTGATTCCAGTCTAACCTCTTTAATCCATCTTCACTTTAACCCCTGAATTTTTTTTCAACTGCACTACTAGAGATCAGATCATTCTACTCAAAAACCTTTAGTGGATCCCTATGGCCCTCCATAATTTGGTTCTGACCTCACTTCCCAGGCTTATATTATTGCCCTTTATATACTATAGATGACAGCCAAAATAGACTGCTTTTTATACCATCTTCCCATATCTGGAGTAGAATTCTCCCCACTTTGGCCTTCCCCTCTACCCTAGTCCATGCCTCTCTTCCTTCAAAGCCTAACCAAAAAAAAAAATAAGTTTCTATTTTGCAAGATCTTATGCAAGGACTGCGCTTTCCATGGAACCTTTCCTGCTTCTGTCCCTACCTATTCACTGGCTGAAAATAATCCTTTCTCAAAGCTTCTCCTAGCACACATCTTTTCTTTGCATTTATATATATACACACACACACACACACACATATATATATATATATATATATATGTATACACACACACACACACACACACACACACTCTCACACTCTCTCTCTCTCTCTCTCTCTCTCTCTCTCTCTCTCTCTCTCTCTCTCTCTCTCTCACATATATGACTCTCCTTTATGCCATAGTTATTTGGCTATAATTCTATGAGAGCAAAAGGGACATTAGGGATCAAGAGAATGTCATTACTAGAAGGAATCTGAAAATAGCCCAAAGTACTCCAGAAAGACCAGCCTAATAGAGTTGATGCTGTATAGTCATCTTTAATTTCCATTCTTGAAGCAGTGATTTTGTCAGTATGGAGTAACCCTCAGCACCATTAGCAGAGGAGTCCTAAAGAGTTGTCTTTAGCACAAAGCTAAAACTGTAAGAGTCTGGATTTGGATCCAGGTTGTCCTGACGATCATAAGGATGCTATGATAATACATTTTAAAGCTAAATGTAAGAAGGCAGGTATCAACATCAAAAAATATATATATTTTTCAAAATTAATTGTATATACTATCAGCTTTTACTGAAACCTGGATAAGCTTTGCTGAACTGCTTTTCCTTTTGTCTTTTGTTATAAAGAATGGCATGCTGGATAGGGGAGGGAAAAACAACAGCAATGTAAAAAAGATATGAAAACACTTTTTAAAAATTTAATGCTTAAGATACTTTACGTACTCTAAACCATAATGAGAATATAACATTTTAAAATTTAAACTATAGGACGCTTTATTTTCCATTTGTGCCAACAACTCCGAGCTAACCAAGGGCTATCTATTTTTACTTTACCTTAAGGCAAACTGGTCGGTTAAATTTCAGCTAAGAATACAAAACTGTTATTCACTTCTGCCACTACCACTGTAACTAAGAGTCTAGAATTTAGATTTGTTACTAGGGAGAAGAGTGAGGAGTGCTTGGTGAAAACAAACACTGAATATACCTATGTCTAGAGATAGTATTTAATATTTACTAAGCCCATTTTTGATTATAGGAATTGACGTATTTTTTTTTCAAATTTTTTATTGCCTAGATTATTAAAATACTAGATCTGGGGACAGAACTTGAAGAATCTTGGCCACTATGTGGAATACTAAACATTAGGACAGCTAAGAGTAAAAATTGCTGTTATTTTCTGAAACTCTGTTCTTGGTTTAGGGTTAAATAAATATTTCTCTTTTTTTCCTTTAATTTCTATTTTTATTTAAGCCTATTGTTTCATATCACATTCTGCCTCTTCCCTCCTCAGTAAGCCTTCTCTTAAAACAAAGAATTGTAAAAGAAAAAAAAGCAGTCCAGCAAAACCAAACAACCCATCAACATAGTGTAACAGTACCTATTTGCAATATCCTCACCCATATCCCACCACTTCTACAATAAAGATAACTTTTCTCAATTATTCAGAGTCCAAGCTTTAATGAAACATTTCTAAAATCCAATATTTCTTCCCCCATTTCATGCAGAATGCAGAAAACAATTCCCCACATACCAAATGCACCTCCAATCTCAGCACCACTTGTCGGAATATTGACATTTACAATGCCACAATCTGATCCTTTAGGCCTATATCAAACAGAGCAATAACAGATATTACTGTGGGGAAGATGACACCTTAAAAAGTTATTTTTTCTAAATAAAGTATTTTGTGCTGAAAAAAATTTTAACTATGTCTACTTTTAAAAATTGTTCAGTGAGAGGCAGCTAAGTGGTGCAGTAGATGGAGTACTGGCCCTAGAATCAGGAGGACCTGAGTTCAAATCCGGCCTCAGACACTTGACAGTTACTAGCTGTGTGACCCTGGGAAAGTCACTTAATCCCAACTACCTCACCAAAAAATAAATAAATAAATAAAAGCTGTTCAGTGACTAGAATTTTTCAACCTAAATCTATATTTATTATCTATACAGGTAGTGACATACCCAAGCCATCGAAAGATTCTGCCCAAATCCTTTGTGAAGATACTACTTGAAAGACCGTGTTTTACTTCATTATTCCATGTATAGACCTCGTCTTCATTCTGTAAATACAAAGAATATGAACTATTAGGTAACATACTCAATATTGACAGTAGGTGAATTATCATTCTAAAGTTAAAATAAACATAATTTCATCATCTTCAATCAAACATACATGTGTGTATATAAATTTGGCTATCTGTATACAAACTCAGGAGTCTGAAGAATAATAGTTTTTATTCATATACTCATCTCATTCCTTTAGGGTTACCATCTCATCATTATTTCACTACGAATCTTCAGGTTTTAATCAATCAGAATGACCTCCTAGGATCTACCTAACAATTGTTCTAGTAACATTTTATAAATTTAGGTCTTCTCTTCTCAACCCTTAACTTATTCATTGGAAAATTAGACTTTCTCATTAATGTGAAACACAGAAATAAAAAGCACTATCAGTTTTCACCTTGAATTTTAAAACATAAAGGATAGGAGCAAATGTCTCTCTGTGCACAACGGATGCATCGTGATCAAGACCAGTCACAATCGTTGGCTCTACATAATTTCCAGGACGATCTATAGTCTTTAAGGAAAGGAAAATAAAAAAGGAAAGAAAATTACATTTTATGTTTCCAGGTACATATTATCTATGAAGGAGAAAAAACTCAGTAAGGGGAAAAGTATGATTCCAAAATAAATCCACTGCAAATAAAAATTAAAAATGCTATATTGCTCTTTGCTGTTTTAACTAAGCTAGCTGCAGCCTACTTTCATTGGAGCTAGCTTCTCTTTAAACAGTCTGAAAGGGAGCTAAATCTTTACATGACATTCAAAAAAAGGTCTTCTAGTCCTACAGAGTTCTGTACATTATTAAATTTTAAATGATACAAATAATAAACAGAACATTAATTTGAGTATCATCTTTTAGATATTGCAAAACAATACTTTAAATAGAAAACTGTTAAGTTTTCATATGTCAGGAATATCAGACAGACATTCTTGCACTGCATAAAAGACTGCACTAACTGACATTAAAGTTCCTTTCTAATATTATGACTATGATTTTAGGTTATTTTATAAAGTCCATATAAGGCATGGTAATTAGTTTTTGAGGATACACCCAGTGAAGCTGACACTATAGTTGAAAAAGATAATTACTACTATTATACTGCAACTTCCTTCCTTCATCCTTATTCCTCATCCTTGTTCTGTCAGGGGAGAGCATGAAAAGACAGGACAGGGGGGAAAAAAGAATAAGAGAGAGAGAGAGAGAGTATTGAAGTAGATGAGAAAGAAAGAAATAAGAACCAAGAAATGAGAGATATAAGTGGGGAAGATGAAGAAGAAGATATGACAATTATTAAACTATTATTAGCCGTACTCTATGCTTCTAATTAAAGTGTGCTAAATGATTCCATGATTCTGTGAAATAAAATCACACAAAGTCCTGCTTTTTAAAGCAGTGATTTTTTTTCCCTTAAAATACTAGTGGAATGTGAAGAAGGATGAGAACAAAAAGAATGTAAGGTCTATTAGGGAAATAAAGAGGTCAGGAAAAGTAAATTCTGTCCTATTCACCACTGGCCCTAAGTACAGCAAGGGAGGTAATTTCAAACATGGGACACTATAATTATAGAAACTGTAGTCTTTACCTTCCCACCACAGACCACTATGCCACCTTGCTTTTTGGCATCTTCCACTGCACCAAGGAACATGTTTACTGCCTGTTTGGTGTGGACAGGCCCATAAAGGACATTAGCTAAAGAGAGAAAAGAAATTCTTGATGATTTTTCCCTCAAAGACATCAATTCATGACAAAATATAGTTTACTAATGCCTCACAATTAATTACACTGTCAATTACTCCCTTGTTTTCACCCTTAGAATAGCCTGATAGCTATTACACTGAACTAATTAAGACTACTCCACTTTCTACAAAGTATTTGCAATAGTTAACCTAAGCTAGCATGGCAACTAACAACTACCTTTCCATTCTTTTTTACCAATTAACTATTTGAACCAGCATCTTCTTAATATTTCACTGCCAAGAATCCCAAGAATTAGAAGAAAAACTCTGGGAAGGATAATGGAAAAGTCAGTAAACTATAAGAATAACATGATTCAAAGGGCAGGTAGGTGGCACAGTGGATAGAGCACCTGCCCTGGAGTCAGGAGGACCCAAATTCAAATCTGGCCTCAGACACATGACACATATTAGCTATGTGACAGTGGGCAAGTCACTTAACCCCGACTGCCTCACCAAAAAAAAAAAAAAAGGACAGGATTCAGCAGAAAGAACACCAGATTAGGAGTCAGGAGACCTAGCTTCTATTCCCAGCATTAGCTCTAAAATTTCCTACATAATCTTGAACAAATCATTTAAATACTCTAGGCCTCAGTTTCTTCATCTGTAAAACAAGAGAATTAAACAAGAACTCTAAAATCTCATCCAGGGGGTCACTTTATAAGCATACATCAAAAAAAAAAAAAGACCCTAACAACCACCAAATTAATAATTTACTATTAAAACAGTTTTGGCTATAAAACAAAAGCACAACCAAAATATTGTTTTAAGTTTTTTTAAAGAAATTTCATTTGGCCCATATCTTGACTTCTAAATTCTTATCCTAATAATATCAGGTCCAATCCTGACATTTAGTCAAGGATATGCTGGTAAATGTTTACCAAAAAGCTCTCTGAAAACACATGACACACGTTTAAGTTTAATCTGCATTATTAACATTTTTACCAACATTTCCTAAGTGCAGATAATCAACAAAATAATAAATCAAGCCCTGATATGGAAGTATGCCAACTTCCGAAGTGTAAATGCTCACACTGAAACTTCAACAATTGACTTTTTCAAGTTAGTATGATATGGCTCCCAGCACGTTCCTGCATTTAGTACTGTGCCCTAGTTAGACTATATTTGGATCAGAACACAGTTCTGTTCAGTTCTGGGCAGCACATTTTAGGAAGAAGATAAAAGAAAACTATCCAGAACAACTAGGATAGTAAAAGGCCTCATGATCATGAAATATAAGAAGTGATTGAAGGAGCTGGGAATACTTAGGCTAGAAAAGAGATGATGTAGGGTTGGAATGTAGTAGCCATCTTTAGTATTTGAAGGTTATTATCTCAAAGAGAAATTAGATTTGTCATACTTGACCCCAAAGCACAAAACTAGGAAAAATGGGTAGTTACTAAGGATCAAATTTAAACATTATTTAAGGAAAAAGTTCCGAAAATGGTATGGGTTATTTCAAGAGTTAGTAGTGGGTTTCCCCTCACTGTAAGTCTTAGGGCTGGAGAGAAGAATTTTGTTTAGAAGTGGGTCTGCCTAGCTCTAGACAGACACTGACATCTCTTCCCACTCTAAAGCCACTGAAGTGGCTTCAATATTGGTCCTCAGCCCACTTAAAAGATGCAAAAGAATAGCTACTTTTGTCATGAAGGGAATTTCTCTTTTGAAAACACTTCAACATGGAACCTATTACCCATCAGACTTATAGACAGGAAAAGAATTTATGAATAAATAAGACAGAGCATTATGAGATGTAAAGGTTTCATACCTCAACTATATAGAGAACTCTGTCAAATTTATAAGAATAAGAGTCATCCCTCAATTGATAAATGGTCAAAGGATATGAGCAGGCACTTTTCCAATGAAGAAATCAGAGAGATAGATAGATAGACAGACAGATAGACAGACAGATAGACAGAGATAGCCATATTAAAAAATGCTCTAAATCACTATTGATTAGAAAAATGCAAATTAAAACAACTTTGAAATATCAACTCATACTTATCAAATTGGCTGAAATGATAGAAAGGGAAAATGACAAATGTTGGAGGGGATGTAGAAAAATTGGGACATTAATACACTGTTGGTAGAACCATAAACTGATTTAACTATTTTGGAAAGCAATCTGGAATTATGTCCAAAGTTATAAAATTGTGTATACTCTTTGACCCAGATATACCATTATTAGGTTTATTTCCCAAGGTGACTGGAGAAAAAGGAAAAGAATCTATACGTTCTAAAATATTCATAGCAGCTCTCCTTCTGGTGGCACAGAACTGGAAATTGAGGGGATGACCAGGATTTGGGAATGGCTAAACAAGTTGTAATATCTAACTGTGATGAAATACTATTGTGCCTTAAGAAATGATGAGCAGGTTGGATTTAGAAAAACATGGGAAGACTTACATGAAATAACGAAGAGTGAAATGAGCAGAACCAAGAGAACATTGTACACACTTAGCAATTTTATTTGAAGAATAACTGTGAATAAGTTATTCTGAGTATTATAAATACTCAAATCAACTATCTGATTTGAACCTATGAAGAAAGATGCTAGCCACCTCCAAAGAGAACTGATAAATAGAAGTATGCATAAGATGGTTTTACACACATGAACATACACAGACATACACCACACACACACACACACACACACACACACACACACACACACACACACACACACACTCCCCTGTATCAAATGGTAGCCTTTTGTGGCGTGAGGTGGGGAGGGAGGGAAGGAGACAGCTCAGAACTTAAATGTAACAATAAAAATAAATTTAGTTTTTAAAAAAGTGAATTCTATTAAATTTTCAAACAACAACTACTTCCAATACTACATAAATTGTTTGCAGTAAGAAAAAGGGGCACCTTTCTAAACTCTTTCTGATACAAATATGATCTTGATACTTAAGCCAAGGGGAGACAACACAGAGAAAGAAAACTACAAAACAATTTTCCTAATAAACAATGATGAAAAGTATATTTAATAATATATTAGCAAGCAGGCTACAACAACATGTTAGAAGGATTATACACTAGGACTAGGACCAGTTAGGGTATGTAGCAGGAATACCAGGTTAGTTCAACAACAACAGAACTATTAATTTAATAAACTATATTAATAATATAAGTAATAAAAATAATATGGTTATTTCAATAGATACTGGAAAGGATTTTGACAAAAATACAAGTATTTTTATTTAAAACTCTTAGAAATCATAGGAATAATCAGACCTTTTTTTAATGTAGTAAATACCATTTCTCTGGATCCAAGAGCAAAAAAAAGAAAAAAAACACTTACAATCCCACGGATTTCCAATACGAATTTGTGCATATGCCTTTTTAAGTTTGTCCACAACTTCATCATGGATGCTTTCATGCAAAAACTAAAAAGAAGTATACACGTGAAATTTAAAAATTAGAAAAATTTTTTAGCATTCTGAAATTTTTTATAGTCCTCTAACTTAAAAAGATTCCACCATTCAAAATTTCCAAAAACAAGGAACAGAAATAAAAAAACATATTTCACAAGTTTATTTTTTATTTGTTAAAATTTGAATTCTATCTCTGCATATTTTAATATTATTCTCTTTTAGGGGCAGCTAGCTGGAGCAGTGGATAGAGCACTGGCCCTGGATTCAGGAGGACCTGAGTTCAAATCCAGCCTCAGACACATAACACTTACTAGCTGTGTGACCCTGGGCAAGTCACTTAACCCCACTGCCTAAAATAACAACAACAACAAAATATTATTCTCTTTTAATGTTATAGTGACATTTTTGCCCTTTTTAAAATAACACTGTCACTTCAATATTAGCCTTCACTTAAATAGTAATTTATTCTATGTGAAAACCAGCACAAAATTCAAAGTCATGTCCAAGAAACCACTCTGCTAAGCCTCAAAAACCCACCAGAATAATAAATTTGAATGTTACAGTTAAATTTTGCACCTAGTCAAAATTTTCTCAACAGTATGAAAGACACTATCATAAATATCATACAATAGACAGTTGTATCAAATCAAGAGTGCATTACATACTAACAAAATCTAGTTATTGTGAATTGTCCAGAAATGAAGTTGAATTTCCCAAATTTCATATAATGAAATTAAATTGTGTTTATGACACCAAACAAGTCAACTAACCTCTTTGGATCTGTTTCCTAATCAGATAATCTCTAAATTTCTTTCCAGTTCTGTATATAAAAATCCATATTTGAATGAATAAAAATATTTATTAAGGCTTTACTATGTGCAACGCACTAAACAAACAAAAAATAAAATGGTCCCTTCTCTCAAGGAAGTCAAATTCTAATGGGAAAGACAATACGTGGAAGGTTTCATCTGCAAGTCAGGTGGAAAAGTTCAATGGTCCTTAGGGTGCAATGGCAAAGCAGGCAGTAATACTTCTTTTATGTCAATTCCACTGACAAAATCACTTCCAATCCTGATCACTGAACCATCTGACAGTGCCAAGGACTTTGGTGATAAGAACTTTCTTTTCTGGGTCTTCAATAGCTGAGATTTGCAAGAACAGTTGCCAGACTGCATTTCCATATTTGTTCCAAATTATGTCATTAACAGAGAAAAGAAATCAGGAGTGAAGTGAAAGGCCACAAAATAGACCCTAAAAGTTTTTAAAGTTTCAAAATACCTTTTTTTATAGAAAGAAAAAAGCTTACTGAAAAGGAACCCAATACTACCCACATTTCAGTTCACAATATAATAGTTTTCATTTATACTGTTCTTTTTAGGCACATTGCTCAATTTGTTCTGGAGGATTCATTTTGTGTGCTGCCTCTATAGCACCTTAGTATAAAGTAGCAAACTGACTCTGAAGTTTGGATCAAAAAAAAAAAAGAGCAAAGTTGGCTTAGGGTGTCAAGGCTGAGTTACATGTAGTTTAGATAGATACACTCACCAGGCGTCTAGCAGTTGTACATCTTTGGCCCGCTGTCCCCACAGCCGCAAAAAGAGCCGAAGGAATAACTAAACTGAGGTCTGCATCTTCAAAAACTTGGAGGAAAAGCAAGCAGGAAATAGGCCAGAACAGGTAAAAAAAACAACAATGTATTTTCTTTACTGTTAACTAGAATAAACAGGAGGCAGCCAGGCAGCCCAGAGGATAGAGAGCTGGTCCTGGAATAAGGAAGACCTAAGTTCAAATCCAGACTCAGACACTAGCTGTGTGATTCCACACAAGTCAAGTCATTTGCCTTGATCTACTGAAGAAGGAAGTGGTAAACCATTCCAGTGTCTTTGCCAAGAAAACTCCATGAACATTATGATCCATGGGGTCAGAAAGAGTCAGACATGACCAAACAACAGAACAGCAGCTAGAATAAAATAGTGAGCACTTAGCAACTATATGCAGAATATATAAAACCTATTTGTACTCCTGTTAAAGTAGGAATATTTTAATGTAAAAATAAAGAAATCTTTCTTATTTAGAAAAAAAGGGATACGTTTATTAATTTTTTAAGTCAGAAAAATGTGTTCCACGGAAGAAAGATTCTACTTAAAAGCATAGGATAACCATCACAACGGTAAACAAACCTTATGCAGCAGGGTTTAGGGATGACTGACCCCACATCAGCCTAAGTAAGGTGGCCATCCCTCTTTTAAACTGCTATTTGACAATTTCCTTATTAATTCTTACCCAGGTTCTCAGATAATTAAGTAATACAGTTCTGCTATTTCCTCATAAACTGATAAAACTTTTACAATCACTAATTAATTAATTAGTTCTGAACTTCTACCTTGGAAAAATTTCTTTTACCAGTAGTCTTCACTCATCATTCATATAAACCCTGGTGTCATTTGTGTAGACAATTTATCAACAATGTAACAAAAACATTTCATTATTTCAATAACACATATATATGCTGTGAGAATGTTCAAAGAATACCCATAACAATCAACTTCTCCACAAAAACTGGAACCACTGTCCAAACATTCAGCTCTCTCAAAACAACAATCAAACTCTCTCAAAAATTCTCAAGTTGACTTCTTTGAAAGAACTGAGTTTAACTCATTCTCACAGTTATGAAATTCTTACAGTCCTCTCTCTATGTCTCACACAGTCACAATAAGTAATATTCTGCAACAGTAGTATCTCTCTCAAGTTAACATTTAAACTCTAACTCCTCAGGATCCTACTCCTTTTCCCTTAAAGATATAGCAACAATATCCATAGTATTTGTAGAAGATTATGAAAGCTGGCATTACACCTACATGCTAGTCTTCTTTACAAATAAACATATATAAAGTTATACATTAACTCCATTGACAGATGGACTCCTGCTAAAGCTGCTCTTCACTTTCATCATAACCTCTTGATCTCAACTTATACAGCCATCTATCCCTAAATAAGGTTCTCTCTACCAACCTGGACTTCACTGGTTAGCCATTTACACTACCTACTCTAGATTTAGAGAACCATATAATCACAGAACTGGAAGTGACTTTAATCAATCTACATTTATTAAATGCCTATCATGTGCCAAGCACATAATAGCTAAGCTTGGGAACCACCTAATCTAACCCCCATCCAAAGCAGTATCTCTGGCTAGTAGTCAATAAGACTTTACTTACATTAATTATTAGGAAGTTTTTCCTCATATAAAGATAAAGTCTGAGACAATTTTGAAAGACTTTAGAACCCTGACCAAAGCAATGACCAACCATGATTCCAGAGGATTCATGATGAAACATGCTACCCATACCCATCACCTGACAAGAGAGGTAAAGGACTCAGAGTACAGATTGAGGCATTATTTTTGGACATGGCCAATGTGGGAATTTGTTTTGCTCCACTCTCCGTGTTTGTAATTAGGGTTTGGTTTCTCTTTCTTTTCCTATGGGGGAGAGAGGAGGGAAGACGGAAAGGGGGGAAGTTGGAAGGAAGACAAAGTAGATTTTCATTGAATGAAAAAACATAAAATTTAATTTTAAAAAAAAAGATAAAGTCTACCTACCTATAACTTTTATCCATCAATTCTAATTCTGTCCACTAGCAATAAGTTCTATCTCCTCAAACAGGATGAGAACAAATATTAGAAACCAACTAATGTATTCAAATCTAAAGCAATAAGTAGGTCACACAAGAGATGACGAGTCTTGAGCTCTTGAGCTAAAAAAAGTTAATCGACCTTTTGTAGTAGCAAAAAACTTAAGAATAATAGGTGCCCATCATTTGGGCTAATTGGGATATATAAACACAATAGCAACTTATTACTGTAAGGAATAATGAAGGTGAAATTGAGAAAACCTGAGAAAATTTAATTGATCATTGAATTCTTTCCTCCTGATCTATTCCTGCCTTCAGTATATATACATATTTTCTTTTATGATCAAGGTAAAGGTCTTAAAGATATGAAATATATAGAGACAGAGACAGAGAAAGAGTTCTCATAATGAAAGAGTAGACAACTTCTTTAACTTCCTATCAACCCAGAGGGGTAATTCAGTGACTAATTTAGCTAATTTGAATAAACAAGAAAAAATGCTATCATCCTTACCAATAATAGCATTGTTTCCTCCAAGCTCTAACAAACTTCTCCCTTAAAAAGAAATAAAAAAGTTAAGACTCACTTTTGTTTTTAATGTCTCAGGGATACTCTTCCCAACATTTATTACTCCTTGAATAAATACATTTCTATATTTACTTTATATTCTACTGACTTATTTCAATCTAATTTATTTAAAATAATTAAAGCTAAGTTTTTCTATGTCAAAATACCTCTCACACACCTGTATAACTTTAGGAAAACAACACAAACTTTCCTTCCCCTCCAAACCCCCCAGCCTCCCCACTCCACTAAAAAAAAAAAAAGGTAAACAGTCCACATGATATGGTACTTTCTCCACCAGGACTGCACTAGATCAGCTGAATAGTTACTGAAATACTAAGTCACTGCTTAGTGACTTTAGTCATAGCAGTTAAATCAGAAAACTATGCTTACAGAGTACCTGCCATTTGCAGGACACACTAAATGTCATCAGAAGATACCAAGAAACAAAAGACATTATATCTAACATTAATGTTCTTTACTTTGACCCCAATGAATAATACTTTTCCTTTTCACTGATCCATAAGAGATCCAAAAGGAAAGCCAGGTTTTATTTCCCATTCTCCTGTAAAATCTATTCAGGTCTTGTGCCTAAGATGTCGACTCAGTGAAATTAAGATGACTCCTGAGTCCTCTGGAACTTTTCCTCCATTTGTTGTTATACACCCAGAAAAAATGACATTAGTAATTTCGGACAAGCTGATCAATTTTTTCTCCAACTTATCTGCAACTTCTACTTAGAACCACCTAATTTAGAAAGTACTCACACTTTTTCCCAGTAAGGAGGAGAGTCCTTCCTCCCAAACAGTGTCATTAATAACATCTGTCCATAGACTTGACTTTAAGCAAATAGGAGGGTCGTCTGCCTGGCCAATGCAATCAAGGCGAAACTAACAAATGTTCTTCAGGAAAAGCCTTTTTGGCAACCTGTAAAGTTTGCTTTGGTGTCAGCTAGACCTAAGAATTAGTAAGATAATTACGTAACCCTTTCTTTCACTTGGATGTTCTAAACACCACGCAGATTTCCAGGGAAGCAGTATAAGGGTTTTGAGAAAAGGCCACATTCAATCTTCAAAGAAGTATGGCTGCTAGAATATCCACTCACCAAACCTCTCTTGGACCATGACTGACACCAGTTTTCCCACTTGGGTGCTTCCTGTGAAGGACAGCAGATCTACCCGCTCATCTTTGGCCATTGCTGTGCTGTAAGAGAAAAGCCAGAGATCTATTTTAACAGATGAAATGGGACAACAACAAATAATTAAGAAAAGCTTGGCAATCACTCTATTCATCTGCATTCCCTCTGGTCACTCCTTGTACTAAAGAATAAAAGCAGTTCAGTAAAACTAACCAACACATCAACTGTGTGTTGCTCCATACCTCTGAAAAAGAAAGTAGGAAGTATATTTTCTTCTATCTTCTTCCATGGCATGTTTGATTATTATAATTACACAATGTTTGCTTTCTGGTTTTTCTGGGGACTATTCTTTCCATTAATATTGTTGTAATCTACCTATCAGATCTATGGAGAACAGAAGAATTCATGACCAAACAGGAGACAGAGAACATTACAAAAAGCAAAATAGATAATTTTGATTACATTAAATTGAAAAGTTTTTGCACAAACAATGCCAATGCAACTAAGATTAGAAGGAAGGTAGAAAATTGGGAAAGAATTTTTACAACCAGTCTCTCTGATAAGGGCCTCATTTCTAAAATATATAGAGAATTAAGACAAATTTATAAGACTACAAGCCATTCCCCAATTGATAAATGGTCAAAGGATATGAACAGGCAGTTCTCAGATGAAGAAATTAAAGCCATCTATAGTCATATGAAAAAATGCTCTAAATCATTGTTGATTAGAGAAATGCAAATCCAAACAACTCTGAGGTACCACATCACACCTATCAGATTGGCCAACATGACAAAACAGGAAAATGATAAATGTTGGACAAGATGTGGGAAAATTGGAACACTAGTGCATTGTTGGTGCAGTTGTGAAACGATCCAACCATTTTGGAGAACAATTTGGAACTATGCCCAAAGGGCTATAAAAATGTGCATACCCTTTGACCCAGCAATAGCACTTGTAGGGCTATATCCCAAAGAGATCATACAAATGGGAAAAGGACCCACATGTACAAAAATATTCGTAACAGCTCTTTTTGTGGTGGCAAAGAATTGGAAATTGAGAGAATGCCCATCAATTGGGGAATGACTGAGCAAGCCGTGGTATATGAATGTAATGGAATACTATGGTGAGGGAGGAAGGGGGAAAAAAATTTTAAACTCAAAAGCATATGGAAGTGATTGTTCATAAATCAAAATAATAAAATTTTTTAAAAATATTGTTGTAATCATTTTGAAGAACTTTATTCTGGTTCTGCTTACCTTTTTACTCATTAATTCCTATGTTTTCCATGATTCCTTGTATTCATTATATTCTTAACTTCTTAAAACACAGCAATATTCCATAACATTCATATGCCATAATTTTTTAGCCATTCCTCTACTGGTCAGCATCTAGTTTGTTTCTCTGCTGCTATAAATATATTAGTGTATATATAGCCTTTATTTTGTCATTGGCTTATTTGTGTTAAATGCCTGGCAGTAGAATTTCTGGCTCAAGGGATACGGATATTTTCAACTGCATTTATTTAAAAATAGATACAGAAATATGTCTCCTTAAATAAAATGAGGTCACATGAATTGGTGTTTATAAGTCTTCCTAGATATCTCTACGCCCATCATATATCCAGTAATATTGCTTTACATTCATGTACCACAATTTCTTTATCCATTTCCTTTCTTCATTTCAATTTCTTACCTACCACAAAAATGTTGCTGTACATATTTTAGTGTAAATGGAAACTTTTTGTCTTTGGCCTTTTGTGGACATATGCCTAGCAAGTGAACTCTCTACATCAAAAGTTTTGGACATCTGAGTCAATTTCTTATACTCCTCACTGTATCAATGGTCCTAACTCCATCAGAACAAAGGATGAACCCAGTTCCTATAACAGTTTAAAGTAATATGTTCCCAAAGTTATAAGGTGGTTACTTGGAGTTTAAAACGCATTTTCCTATAGAAACAATGTTAGAAATAGAGGTTTGGTTACACAGATAGTTCATAAAATCCTATTTACTCCATAATATACCAAAAATACGACATTTCAACAATCTATTGTCATGGCTTCATTTTTTCTTGGGAAACACATTTGATTTCCTAGGATCACCTTTCAGAATCTGAGAATTAAGGGACACTTGGATGTCATCTGAAACAAGAATTTGTTCTATAAAATTTTTAACAAGTGGTTATCCTGCCTTTGCTTGAAGACCTTTAGTAATGAAGAACACATAAGTTCCTTAAGTAACCCATTCTACTCTGCGACATCTTTAAAAGTTAGGACATTTTTCCTTACACAGCACGATATTCCTTAGGTCACCTTCTCATTGAAGGAAGAACTAACATACCCAATATCAGCACCACCACATGTCATGGAACAGATTGCACCAGGTAAATTGTTGTCTTCCAAAACTTTGGCCACTATCCTAAAGAAAAAGATGTATTAGTAAGTAAGCTTCTGAAACAGTTTTTTAAAAGAAAGGTCAAGCTTCCCCAAACTCCTACCTAATCTTTACCCAAAATGTTGTTTCAAATGTTTATATTTGTTTTCCTTGACATTTCTCTGGGACTAGAATCATCAACTCATTTTCTACAGATCTCTGCTCTTTCATCCGAACTCACTAATCCATGCTACTTTCCCTTCTAGTTTCTATTCCTTAACTCATCCCTGTGAAACATCTTCTGACAGCAACAAATCCCTAAGTAAAAAGATCTCACCATAACCTGAAAAAAATTTCCAAACTTCCAGATCTCAAGAATTAGAGTTGTCCAAACCCAGGAACTCTATGAACACAATTACAAAACACTTTTCACACAAATAAAATCAGATCTAAATAACTGAAAAAACATCAGTTGCTCATGGGTAGGCCTAGCTAATATAATAAAAATGACAGTCCTACCTAAGCTAATTTACTTATTCAGTGCCATACCAATCAAACTACCAAAAAATTATTTTATAGAGTTAGAAAAAATAATAACAAGATTCATTTGGAAAAACAAAAGGCCCAGAATATCAAAGGAACTAATGAAAAGAAATGCAGGGGAAGGTGGCCTAGCAATTCCAGATCTTAAATTGTATTATAAAGCAGCAGTCATCAAAACTGCTTGGTACTGGCTAAGAAATAGGGACCGTGGATCAGTGGAACAGGTTAAATATGCAAGACACAGTAGTCAATGACTATAGTAATCTATTATTTGATAAACCCAAAGACCCCAGCTTCTGGGATAAGAACCCACTCTTTGAAAAAAACTGCTGGGAAAACTGGAAAAGAGTATGGCAGAAACTAGGCATAGACCCAAATCTCACACCATATACCAAAATAAAGTCAAAATGGGTTCAGGACTTAGATATAAAGGCTGATACCATAAGTAAACTGGGAGAACAAGGAATAGTTTACCTATCAGATCTATGGAGAACAGAAGAATTCATGACCAAACAGGAGATAGAGAACATTATGAAAAGCAAAATGGATAATTTTGATTACATTAAATTGAAAAGTTTTTGCACAAACAAAGCCAATGCAACTAAGATTAGAAGGAAGGTAGAAAATTGGGAAAGAATTTTTACAACCAGTCTTTCTGATAAAGGCCTCATTTCTAAAATATATAGAGAATTAAGACAAATTTATAAGAACACAAGCCATTCCCCAATTGATAAATGGTCAAAGGATATGAACAGGCAGTTCTCAGATGAAGAAATTAAAGCCATCTATAGTCATATGAAAAAATGCTCTAAATCATTATTGATTAGAGAAATGCAAATCAAAACAACTCTGAGGTACCACATCACACCTATCAGATTGGCCAACATGACAAAACAGGAAAATGATAAATGTTGGAGAGGATGTGGGAAAATTGGAATGCTAATACATTGTTGGTGGAGTTGTGAAATGATCCAACCATTTTGGAGAACAATTTGGAACTATGCCCAAAGGGCTACAAAAATGTGCATACCCTTTGATCCAGCAATAGCACTTCTAGGGCTATATCCCAAAGAGATCAAACAAATGGGAAAAGGACCCACATGTACAAAAATATTCATAGCAGCTCTTTTTGTGGTGGCAAAGAATTGGAAATTGAGAGGATGCCCATCAATTGGGGAATGGCTGAGCAAGTTGTGGTATATGAATGTAATGGAATACTATTGTGCTATAAGAAATGATGAACAGGCTGACTTCAGAAAAACCTGGAAAGACTTATATGGTCTGATGCTGAGTGAAGTGAGCAGAACCAAGAGGACTTTGTATACAATAGCAGCCACGTTATGCAATGACTAAGAATGTTAAACTGAACCCTTCTCAGCATTATGAGGATCTAAGACATCTCCAGAGGCCTCGGGATGGAAAATGCTGTCCACATCCAAAGAAAGAACTATGGAAGTCGAATCGCTCTCACTTATTTTTACCTTCAGTTGAGTTTTGTTTCATCTTTCTGATGGTTCCCCCTATTGGTTTTAATTTTTACTTACAACTTCACTAATGTGAAAATATGTTTAATGGGTATGTAAATGTAAAGCCTATGTCAGATTGTGCGCCGTCTTGGGGGGGGGAGAAAAAGGGAGAAAAAATTTTCAACTCAAAAGCATATGAAAAAAAAATAAAAAAATAAAATACTTAATCAATACATTAAAAAAAAGAATTAGAGTTGTCAAAAATTTTAAAAATTTAAAAATTTAAAAAATTTAAAGGGGCAGGTAGATGGCGCAGTGGATAGAGCTTCAGCCTTGGAGTCAGGAGGACCTGAATTCAAATCTGGCCTCAGACACTTGACACTTACTAGCTCTATGACCCTGGGCAAGTCACTTAACCCCAACTGCCTCACCAAAAATCAAAAAAAATTTTTTAATTTTAAATTAAAAAAAAATCTAGTTGCTCTAATACTAATACTTCGGCCTAAGGAATAATTAATTCCTGACACTGTCTTTGTAACCAAACACCCAAGATATCGAAACCTCTTCACCCCCTATAAACACAATACAAAATCATAGAATTTAGAATTAGAAGAAACATTAAAGATCATCTAATACAACTCCTTCATTTTTAGGAAGAATAAATTATGTAGCAATTTAACGTACTATCTCAAGGTCACACAGCAAGTAAGCATAACTAGCTTTTTAACTCAAGTTCTCTAACTCAAAATTACATGCTAGGATATATGACATGGAGAATTAAGTGACTGATAGTTACCTAGTTCATTTTGCTTTTCCAAGAGCTTGTGTCTTAAATAATGAGTGGTACATGCATACCAGCACTAAGTGAAGACCCCTCAGAACACAAGACCCCCTCCCCTTTCTTTCTCCCTCCCTTTTCTTAGATAGTGTTAGCAGACATTCCTGAGCCGTAAGAACATCCTGTCTATCTCATCCTCTACTTAGTTATATGACCTTGGGTAAAAGATTGCCGAGACTGTAATTTCTATACCTCTTTGTCCTCTCTGTTGCTGGGGTAGTTTTTACGTGAATAGACTGTACACCTGAGGCTCAGCCAATGAGCCGATGGGAAGGGGGTTAGGGTGGGCTGCTGTGTTAGGGTCTATATATCCTTGCTTTAAACAAACACTCTCGCACTCTTGGGCTGATGCCAGCTTAGGCAGCCTGGGAGTGTCCTTTCTTGAAAAAGTCAATAAAGAGATTTCTCCTTTTTGCAAACTTTTGTCAAGACTCTGGTTTTAATTTGCGTAGGTGGTCTCTGTCCCACACAAATAACAAAAAGTATTATAAGTTAAAATTTTATCTTCAAAAGCACTGGATTTTTCTCTTTATCATTCACATTCCATTTTCAATCATGTAAGCAAATACTACTTAAGTAGCCCCTGCATTTAGGAAACACTTTCTCATATGAGAGCCATTTATTTTGCAATTAACAAAGGGTAGTTTAAACTCATTTATGGATTTTTGCAGAATCCCAAGTTTACAGTTTTAGACAATGACATCCACAGACTAAGCTCATATTTAGATAAGTAGCCTATCAACATTAGATTTGAAACCCAGTACCTATCATATTTCTGTGGTCTGGATCAAATCAAAGTTCAATCAATCAATAAGCATTTATTAAACACCTACTATGTGTTTACAGGCACTGTGATGAGCACGGGGATACAAAAAGGCAAAAGATAGCCCCGACCTCAAGAAGCTTACAATCTAACAAGGGAGATAACATGCAAACAAATGTATACAAAGCAAGATATATACAGAATAAATAGGATATAATTAGTAGAGAAAAGGCATTAGAATTCAGAAAAGTGGGAGGCTTCCAGAAAAAGATGAGATTTTAGTTGACCCTTAAAGAGAGCCAGGAAGTCAGAAGGCAGATTTGAGGAGAGAGAATATCCCAAGCATGGAGAAGAGCCAGAGAAAATGATGGAAGCCTAGAGATGGGAAGGTCTTATTCATGGAACAGCCAGAAGGCCAGTGTCAACCAATCAAAGAGTACATGGCAGGGAATAAGGCATAAGAAAACTGAGAAGGTAAGAAGGGGCTAAGTTATGAAAGGCTTTTAATGCCAGAGTATTGTGTATTTGATTCTGAAGACGACAGGGAGCCACTGAAGTTTATTGGGGAAGGGGAATAAAGGCAAAGGGGTGGTGGGGAGAGAACAATGTTCAGATCTATACTTCAGTACTTCAGGAAAAGTGCAGTTTATCATTAGGTTATCCATGGATGCAAAGAAACATACTTAGTAACTAGGCACTGAAGGTGGTAGGAAAAGAATACAAAGTATAGCCAAGGGGCAGCTAGGTGGCACAGTGGATAGAGCACTGGCCCTGGATTCAGGAGGACTGAGTCCAAATCTGGCCTCAGACACATAACACTTACTAGCTGTGTGACTTAACCCCACTGCCTAGCGCAAAAAAAAAAAAGCACCACCAAAAGAAATTTACATCACACATATACACTTACCTTGTGACAGCTACACTAATGAGCGGAGTCGTTGGTGCTCCTTTCCTGTAGAAAAACAGAAGGAAGAAATTTAATTTTTTTCAGTCATTTGCTATAAAAAACAAAAATGAAGTCATTCATGAGAAGCAAGTCACTTCCAAAGTTATTTTTAAATGAAAATAAATTAAATTAGTGACCAAATTAGGAATTTGCTGCTAGACTTAAGCTCTTAATGTTCCTCCAAAAGTTTATAAGTATTCTAACTTAGAAACAACCATCACCTTCAATTCAGCTCCCATGTCTGGCTAATAGTTTCCAAGGTGACTTATTCTGGCCTTGCTGGTATAATCTTGATTAAAAGGAAATCTTCACAGATTTCTTGTTCCCAAAACACACCTGAGAAGGCTAAGGGAGGCAGATTTACTTTAGTTTTCCACATGAGACTACTCTAAGAATAAGTAAGATGGTTAAATCGGTAAGAATTGATAGGCAGGTTCTAGTTCTTCCTAGGTTTTCATGGAAAACTGTCTTGCTTTTATATGTAAAGACAATCTTTGAATACAAGTAACAGTTACAGAAAAAAAAAATCACTTCTCGGTGCGCAACTAGAAATAGCAGTTCAGTGTCAATTATTTTGGTAATTCCTTATTTGACTAAATTCTTTCAGAGAATACTATCAAAGTGAGTTATTGACCATTGGCAAGGTCTTAACTTCCCTAGACCTTTTTCCTTCTATAAAATAAAGAGTTGGGGCTGAATGAAAATAAAAGTACTATTATTATTTTTAATCCTTAATGTACAAACTAATTGATAGTAATAATTGAAAGGGTGGGGAGTTCATGGGTTCAGACCAACTTTCCTTTGCCCACAGCTCCTACTGCACCAGAAGATACACTATAAATATGGCACTTTACCTTGAAAAAGACCTGAAGTTGGTTTGTGGAAGTAGGCCTCAGAAAGGCTGTAGCTGGTGAATTACTTTGAACTGTTTCTTGAGAATGAAATCACAAATAAGTAAATGGGAAATTAGTGTTCCCTAATATATCAATCCTGTTGAACAAATCTGCCTGTTTTCAAAACAAGCATTTATAGAAGAATTGAACGTACTTAAATTCTTTATTTCTGACTACTTGGAGCTTTTTTTTTTTACTTTGACCTAGGAGCTCCAGATCTTAGCTTCAATATTCAAGAGAATTTTCATTTTGGGGTTTCTTTCAAGAAGTGACAACTGGATTCTTTCTAGTTTCATTTTGTCCTCTGGTTCTAGAAAATATGAGCAGCTTCCTTTTATGATGTCTTTAAATATCTCTTCCTTGATATTTTCCTGCCAGTTGTTTTTGCAGTAAGATGCCTTATGTTTTCTTCTGCTTTTTTAGGCTTTTGACTTTATTTTAGTATTTTCTGTTGTTATATGGAGTCACTGGCTTCTATTTGGTCCATTTTAATTTTTACAGAGCTTGTGGCTGGGCCAAGGTTTTATACCTCTTATGCCAAAAATCCCTTTCAAATTCTTCCTTCCATAATTTTTATTTCTTTTCTAACTTTTTCCTCTAGAGCCTTCATTTAAAAAAAAAACCTTTTGCTTCACCTCTTCCAGAAATTCTAGTTAAGCCTGTTTCCAATCTATGTTTTTCATTGTAGATTTGCTTATAGGTGTTTCAGAGGCACTCTTTTTGGGGTTTGTGACTTGAGAATCCCTGTCAACATAATTGATTTTAATAGTGTTAATAGGGTTCTTTCTTTTGTTATAACTTCAAGGAATTTTGAATGATTGATGTTATAGAGGTTATCTTGTCAGAAGTGAGCCTTTAAGGTAGAGTTCTGCTCTACCAAATCCAGTGCCTTGTCTTCCTTTATTTTTTGAAAAATATTTTAATCAACCAAAATCTACCTTTACACTCTCTTACCAGAACCTTCTCTCCACAAGAAAAACAAAACCCACTATAAACATGATCAATCAAGGTAATTTTCTACATTTGCCAAGTCCAAAAAAAAAAACTGTCTTATTCCAATTCCTTCACTTCTCTAATCAGAAGGTAGATAACATGTTTCACAAATAGACACCAGGAATCATGGTTGGTCATTACATGATAAGAATTCGCTTAATAGTATTACATAACATTTGTATACCATAATTTACCTATTCCCAAATTTATGGTCACCCCCTAAGATTACTATTCTTTGCTACCTTGAAAGGAGTCATAAAATTTTTATACAGGTTTAAACTACCCTCTACATTCCCCCTTACTTCTTCCCTCCTTTCCCTCCTATTTTCCTGTTTAATAAAATGTATTTATATACTCAGATGTGTAGGTACATTTTTCCCTCCTTTGATCTGTTCAGATGAGAGTGAGGTTCAGGTTTTTATACAGCTTTCTATTTGCATATTCTGATCATGTGAGACAATTTTTTCCTAACCTCTCATTTTCTTCCTACCCAGTTGTATTCCTCTTTTCCTCTCTTCCCTGGCCTTGTGTAATTGAACTTCGTTTATGACCACTGATGGTAGAGTTCAGAGAGGACATGTATATCCCTCTTCCCACATTCGAACATAAACACTTTATCTTTGTTTAGCCCTTTATCATTGTTTACTCATGTTTACCTTTTTATATTTCTCTTCATTGTCATGTTTTACCTAGTCTTTTCATCAAGAATTCTTAGAAGTCCTCTATTTTATTAAAAGTTTATTTTTCCCCAAGTAGTATCAGCCCCAGTTTTGTTAGGTAAGTTACTTTTTGTTCTAATTACACATACTTTGCCTTCTGGAATACTATACTTCAAGTTCTCCACTCCTTTATAGTAGGGGCTGCTAAATCATGAATTCTTCTTTTCTGGCTGTTTACAGTATTTTTTTCTTTAACTTAGAAGCTCTGGATTTGGGGATATGACATTCCTGGAAGTTTTAATTTGGTGATTTCTTCAGGAGATGACAGTGGAGTCTTTCCATTTCCATTTTGCCCTCTGGTTCTGAGAGATGTGGGCAGTTTCCTTTTAAGATTTCTTTTTTTTTGTTGGTTTTTTGGGGGTTTTTTTTAGGCAATTGGGGTTAAGTGACTTACCCAGGGTCACACAGCTAGTTAAGTGTCAAGTGGTTAGTCTGAGGCTGGATTTGAACTCAGGTCCTCCTGACTTCAGGGCTGGTGCTCTATCCACTGCACCACCTAGCTGCCCCTCTTTTAAGATTTCTTGAAGTAAGATGTTTAAGCTATTTTTTTTGGCATTCAGATGGTCTAATAACTCATTTTTTTTCTCCTCAATCTGTTTTCTAGGTCAGTTGTTTTTGCTATAAGATATATTCTATTTTCTTCCTTATGTTCCAGTTTTTTACTTGTTTTTCTATTTATTCTTACCTTATGGAATCATTGGCTTCTATCTGGTCCATTATGATTTTCAAGCTTTTGTTTGTGCAAAGTTTGTCTCGTGTTAAGCTCTTAATTTCCTTTCCAACTCTTTCTTCCATAGCTCTCATCTGTTATCCAATTTTTTTCTCAAGTATTTTCATTTATAAAAACATTTTTTAACTCATTTCATCTCTTCTAGAATTCAAGTTAAAGTTGTGTCCAAGTTGTGTTTTTCTCTGAGACTCTGCTTGTATGTTTTGGAGTCATTCTCATCTTCTGAGTTTGTGTCTTGAGCTTCTCTGCCACCATGACAGCTCTCCTATGGTGGGATTCTTTTTCTTTGCTCATTTTTTCAGCCTACTTCCTGACTTCAGACTTGATCTTTAGGTCTAGGCTCTTCGGCACTTCTGAAGGGAAGGTCTAGACTAGTGCTATTATTGCTTTCTTGTATTATTTCCAGGATCTCAGGGACACTTCAATCTAGGGACCTGCAAACTTTCAGTGCTCCCAGAATGGTCTTATTACTGCCCCCCGATCTAACTCTGTAAGGTCACTTGACCTGAGTTTGGGTCTGAACAAGAATAGACTGCTGCTAGATAGTCCCTATCAGCCAGATAGGTTTGGTTCAGAGTGGCAGAATTGTAGGTTCCCCTTTGGTCTGGGACTCCTGCCCTGATTCCTCCTCTGTAATCTGAGCTAGACGTTGGAAATGACATCCTGTTCTACACTTGGTGTACCTGGGCTCTGAGCCACACTGCTGCTAATGGCTTCTGAACTTTCTTTCTTGGTTCACTTCCCAGGGCCTCCCTACCTGGGAAGACCACAACCGGATGCTGATTCTTTTCTCCATCCATCCTAGATCTGTGACCTGGAACTGAGTAGTGGGCAGCCAGACTACCAGTTCACAAACGTCCCCATAGCAGTATCCTAGTATGTGTCTAGGGGTGCCCTGTGTGGATCTGGGAACCTCCTCTTGCCCTAATACACACTGGAGTGCTTGCACATATGCTCCTGTCCAGACTCCATCCTCAGTGTCTGTAGCCTTCTTCATCTGATTCCCTATACTGAGTGGGGCCAAACAAATGACTCATTATGATTCTTTGTGGAATACTCCATCAGGATTCAGTCTGAAGCATTTTCTAAATCTGTCTGAAGAAGTTTTATGGGGAGGGAACTCAGCTGTAATGCTTTCTACCACTCTGCTATCTTGGCTCTGCCTCTCAAGTGCCTTTTCATAATCACCAAACAGCAGGCACAGTGACATCTTACATTCTCTACATCTTTCAATCAACTACAAAAAGGTAAATGTGTTATCCAATATTAGAGTGCTTTCTACTCTTTAATACTGCTTACAAAACCTGCTTTTCCCTACTAATCCCCTCAAAGAGGAAGCCCTTGATTTGTGTATAGATGAATATCAGAGATTTTATAGAGACTGGACAATAAACACACACGTCGGTAGCTGGTGTTCTTGGCCGCTTTTTTCAGTATTAATAAAATCTAAAACTTTTTTATTAAACCTCTGGCATTTTTCCCTCCCTTAGTTACTTTGTATATTGATTTCTCAACACCTTCACAATTGTGATATCCAAATGTACTAGCACTGTGCTACATATGAAAGAGAATGCAAAAAGGAAGTTTAGGGTAAAATCAGTAGGGGTGAAATCAAGCACAGATAAAATAAGACACTTAAAATATAAATATAAACAAAACATAAACATGCAGACAATGTCATAACCTGCATATTTGAAATCATTTAAAAAAAAAGAAAATGAAAAAGTCCTACCAAAGGCAGACATTCCCACAAATCAGAGCAATGGCATTATTCCAGCCATACACAGCCACTGGGAAGTTGAATGCAGTGATGATTCCAACTAAGCCCAAAGGATTCCACTGTTCAATGAGGGCATGGCCAGGTCCTGAATGAAAAGAATAAAGACCCCATATTAATAACCACTGTAAAGAAAGCTTTACATGATTCCCTCCAACTGCAAGGGCACAACCTCCCTAACTACTGTGGAAGCATAACCCCATTTGAATTGAAACATTAAGGAATAAATATTTCTGCAGTCTAAATAAGGAAATGTTATGAGTACTTAAACTTCTCAGGAAGCAATGCCCTCCTCCACTGATGACCTCCATCCTTTTTCTTAAACCTAATCACTTTCTCTTAGGAAAGTTATAAAAGCTCTAGAAGAAAAGCTAAAGCCCAAAAAAATGGATTACAGGTGGTAACCAGACACAGACCAAGAAATATCTTCCATTAAGTTTATATTGTTGCTTTCCTCTGAAGGCATCAGAGTAATGACCCACCTAATGATAGTATACTCTTCCCCCACTCCTAAAAAATTAAAATATTGATGAGTGAGAGGAAGTTTTTTTGATTACTTCGGGCAGGAATGACTAGTCAGTGGAGAGGCTTTGAAGTGAAAGGTCAGAAAAGGAGTTGTTTTAGCAGGATAATTCTTCAGGGGCTTTCACGAAAGATTTCAACGACTACTACTCTAGTAGATAAAAATCTACTACCCTTAAACTGTATTCTATACAATAATACGAATTGTGCTCTATTCAAGATTCAAAAAAATGTTGCTTCAAATGTCATGTTAGAGCATGAAAGAACTCACATTTCTCTCTCCAAGTAGAATAATACTTATATTAGAATAATAAGATATAATTGTTCCACAGATGTCTAAAATGAAGAGTATAATATTAAAGTTTTTTCTTTAATACTACATTGTATTTATTCTGTATGTATAATATGTACATGTTTTGCCAATAGAATGTAACCTTCTTAAAAGCAGAAACTATTTCACCTTTATATCCCCTCTGCCTAGCACAAAGTCAGCATTTTTTACTGAAAAATAAAATAAAATAAAAACCTTTGTGCTAACCTGGTATTTTCTTAAAATTCAGGAGGCAGTAACCTAAAGTGTTTGCTTCTTCGCAGGACATCACAGCAGCAGTAGATGTACTTTCTAATTTTCCAGATCAAAATTTTTAAACACACATGTTCTAAAATGGAGAGAATTAATTAACTATTAAATAACAGAGTCCAGCTGATAAATATGTAGTTAAGCATATGCTAACTACACATGAAGAGTTTTCTCCATCCTTTTTAACAAGCAGATTAATTATACGTTCAAATATAATGGTATCTAGAAAATTTCTGGTAACTCTGTATCTTCCCAAGTAACTCAATTTATTTGTTAACCTGATGATTTTACTGGAAAAAATGTATGATTGTAGTTAGTAAATTTTATCGTGACAGCTTTTTACTTGCTTACTTTCTGAAGGCAAGATGGGTCCTCCAATCATTCGTGATAAACCAACAGCATAGTCACAGATATCCACATACTCCTGAACTTCTCCAACACCTTCCACTAAGATTTTTCCCATCTCCAAAGAGACCTGAAAATAAAAATATGTATATATATATTAATTTTAAAATTTTAAAACATAAATGAATCTTTCAAACTTCATAGGTTTAATTTTTTTAAAACACCACCTAGAAAAGAGAAAGCAATCACATATTAGGCAAGGATACTATAAAATGGAATGAAGTAGAAACAGAAGAAAGACAAGAAAGGCAAGATTATGAAACCTTTTTGCAGGATCTTGTAAAAGACTTGAATATTGAGAGACAGAGGAAAGTTTACCAAATACTTACAAGCACCTATTAAACATCCCTAAGGCATAGCATTATGGATTAGGAAGAGGTATACATTAGGGTCTAATACAATGCAGGGGTGGGGAACATGCAAATCCAACAGGATTTGTTCTGTGACGTTTAGACTCAGTCAAAGCGCCACACTTGAGGACCAAGAGCGCCACATGTGGCCTTGAGGCCACAGGTTCCCCACTTCTGGTCTAGTAAGTATAAGTATATATTAGGGTCTAGTTCCTACCCAAATGGACCACATAATCTAGCAAGGAAATAACATATACATAGATAACTATAAGATAAAACAATACAAATATTAAGTATATAGAAGTGCAACAGAAAGGTGAGAGGTCTGAAAGACCAAAAACAAAAAAAAATCACTAAATGAACTTCCATTTCTTCTAGATTCATGCCAATGAATTCTTTTAGAATGAGAACGTCTTTTAATGAGGTAGTTGTTTTTCCGTTTTTAAAAGTACACTTGAATGAAATTCAAAATAGACCCACTTTATATCAAATCTTGTGTTATAGCTAATAACAGCAAGTTCTAATACATTCAACTTAAATGCTTTTTTCCTTATTTATTTATAATGAGTATATCAGTAGGCAAGAAATCAAGTTTTATTTCTGTAGAATCAATTTCAAAAGATCAAAAAATTCTATTTTATGTTTCCCTACCTATTTTGTTACTCTCCGAACCATAAAGTCCACTTTAAAATTATGATTTGTTTGGCTTTTAAAAATCACTCTTACATAAAATAGGAACACAGCACAGCTGTAGGTTGGTTGTTTGGGTTTTGTTTTTTTTTTAAGGCACATTTATTTTTAAAATACCTTACCAAGTTTCCTAAGATTTGGATCTTCTGTCGCAAGGCTTCGCCAATCTGTCTTACTATTTCTCCTCGTTTAGGGGCTGGCATCTAAGTAAAGAATGAAACTTTACTGACAATTTAAAAGGTAAAAGCACTTAAAATTGAGCAGCATATCAAGTCTGTTACTGCGGTAAACTCCAAAACATCAGTGATCTGAAAGATTTCAAAGGAATGCTAACACTCCCTACCCACCACTGCCAGAGAGGGAAAAAAAGTTTTGCTTAACTGATCACAATATGTGTAGAACTCGGGTACATTTTTACATGTAATTAAGAACTGTGATATCAAAATACTCATTAACTTAAAATAAAATACTTCTGAAATCTTATTTACTTAATAACAAACATATATTTTGCTTAGAGTAAAAAAGAGTATCAATCTACAAAACACTTTATAGAAATATGGACAGTCTAAATTAAAGAAAAAATATTAATTATCCTTGGCTAGGCTGAGTCAACATATTAAAAATCACAATTCTATTTTTATCATACCATTGAAGCTACTAAAGGATTACTTCACAGAACAAGAAAAAATAATATTAAATTCATCTGTAGAAACAAAACGTTGAGAATCTCAAAAGTAATTGATCATGAAAAAACATGGTAAGGAGAGAGATCTATCAGTACCAGATCTCAAAGTATTTTTAAGCAATAATTATAAAATGATTTGATTTGTTTAAAAAAAAGAGAAAACAATAAGTGGAATAGATTAGATATACAGCATGCAGAAGAAAACAAACACAGTAATATAGTTGTCAATAGACCCAAAGAGTACAGTTATTACTTGATAAAAACTATAGGGAAAACAAAAACAGAAATTAAGTATTGACCACCATCTCACATAATACACCAAGAGCCAGATGGATACATGTTGTAAATGTAAAAGGCAACATCATAAGCAAATTAGAAGAGCATGGAAGAAATCACCTGATGTATGGATAGGGAAAGAATTCATGACCATAGAAGGGAGAGGATGATCACAGAAGTTAAAATGAGCAATTTTTAATATAAAAGATTGAATAAACTTTTTTTTTTTGCAAAAACAAAATCAATGCAGCTAAAAGAGAAAAGAAACAGAAAATTCGGGTAAAAATCTCTGAGCAAATTTCTCTTATTAAGGTCTTATCTTGAAGATATATAAGGAACAGATTCAAATTAATAAAACTAAGAGCCATTAATGAATACATAAATAGCCAAGGGATATGATCAGGAAGTTTTGAAAGAAATCTAAACTATCAAAAGTCATGTGAAAAAAATGTTGCAAATCACTAATTAAAGAAATGCAAATGAAAGCAACTCTGATGTGATCAACAATGTTGAAAGCTATAGAGAATTCAAGAAGGATGAGGACTGGAAAAAGGCCATGGATTTGGTAATTAAGAATGAGATCACTAGTAACTAGAGACAGCAGTTTTGGTTGAAAGCCGAGATCAATAGCCATATTTTAAGGAGTTGAGAGACAGGAAAGGAAGCAGAGGCACCCATTGTGGACAACATTCTCAAGGAATTTAACCACAAAGGGAAAATGCAATATGGGACAACAGTGAAGATGGAAGTGAGGGGATGGATGAAACACGGGCAGGTTTGTGGACAGTGGGGAAGCAAAAAATGGACAGGGAGATACTGAAGATAAGTGAAAGTGGTGAGAGAAGGCACAATATGCTAGAGAAGATGGAATGCAATGAAATCACTTGTGCAGGTAGACAGGTTTGCCTTGGCAAGGAGTAGGGCCACCTCTTAACCTGAGATGGGGTAGAGGAGATAGTGGTAAAAAGGCATCTGAGTAATAAGAGGTAAGGAAGAGAGAAGAGAAAGCTCTCATTGAATGGCCTCAATTTTTTCTGTAAAATAGGAGGGAAGGATTTCAGCTGAAAGGGTAGGAGTTATGAGAGGTTTGAGGAGGGATGAAAAGTTTTAGCAGAACCACTGCAGAGAATAAGACAGTAAGTTGATAAGGGAGGTAGAGAAGGATTGTCTAGTAGTAGTGAGGGCCCAGTTGAGGTTACATAACATAAAAATGAAGTGGACCCAGTCAGAATGGACTGTGTGATTTTCTACACCTTCGTTAAGCAGCACATGAGTAGGAGTGAAGGCAGATGGTGAAAGTGATTCAAGACTAAGGCCTGGCAGGTTACAAGTGGTTATATGACAATGGGACCTGGAACCACAACAAAGAAGACAATGCAGAGTTGAACTGGTTAATCAAAGGGTCAAGGTAGGGAAAGGAGGAGAGAGTGGCCACTACAGGGTCATGGCCCAGAAAAGAACTCAAGAGACTGGAGATCACAGTGAGTACACAGAGTAGGGGTAAGATGATATCTCAAAATTGTTTTAAGTTGCATTTCTCTAATCAATAATGATTTAGAGCATTTTATGTGACTATATATAGTTTGGATTTCTTCACCAAAAAATTGACTGTTCATATCCTTTGACCATTGGGGAATGACTCACATTCTTATAAATTTGACAAAGTTATTTATATATTTAAGATATGAGACCCTTACCTGAGAAACAGTCTATAAAAATTTTGTCCCAAATGGTCTGCCATTTCCTTTTCCAGCTCATTTTACAGATAAGAAAACTGAGGCAAACAGCATTAAGTGACTTGTCCAGGGTCACATGGCTAATAAATGTCTGAGGTCAGATTTGAACTCAGGAAGATGAATCTTTCTGACTCCAGGCCCAGTATACTACACCACCTGAGCTTCCTAGATGCTCTTATTTTAAGCATAGGCAATCTGTCTTCTAAACTCACTTCTTTTGTTGTTATTGTTCAGTTGTTTCAACTTTTGGTGACTCCGTGGACCATAATGTCCACGGAGTTTTCTTGGTAAAGATACTGGAGTGCTTTGCCATTTCCTTCACCAGTGAATTAATGCAAATAGGGTTAAGTGACTTGCCCAAGGTCACACAGATAGTAAGTGTCTGAGACGCCATTTGAACTCAGGTTTCTTTAGTGCAGGCCCAGCACTCTATCCACTGAGCCATCTAGCTGCTTAAACTCATTTCCAGCTGTTATAATTAATTTTTATATTTTTGAGTAAAACTTCCCTTGAAATACTTTGTCTCTACTAAACTACAGAGGAACTGGATTAATCCATGATGGCTAGAAGGAAACTACTGCAGAGATGAAAACTTACTTCTTACTGAAGCTTTCCCTTCACTGATAAGGTAAGGATATGAAGAGAATATTAAGTGTGTGTGCATGTGTATACTGATTATTTTCCTAAATATATATATATATATATATATACTAACATACATAAAATTTTGCATTTTAATTTATATATTTTATTATTAGTTGCTACCACAACCACATGATTGTTACTGCCTAGTGCTGAACTCTCCCTTGCCCCTCAAAAGCCAAAGACCAAGTAAAGGTTGTACCTGCTGCATGCCCTGACATCCAATAATCACCATCTCTTGGGTTTTGCTTGCTTCCTTTTCCAAATCATCACCTTTTCCAACCACTACCTCCCACCTAGCTAACAGAAATTCAAAAGAAATGGTAATGGACGTGGCAGGTTTAAAATGGAGCAAGCCGCTGAAAATATAATTTTAGCTATCAGTCATTATTCTGAGGGCAGAAGCAGAAACAAAATGTGATCATCGTTTCTGAAAGGATCCCAGCAGTGATGATGTGGAAAGAAGCCTGGATTTATAGTCAAACTACTAGATTCAAATTCTACTTACTATCTGTGTTACCTTGGGCAATGCACAATCTGGGTCAGTTTCCTGGTCTGTAAAACCAAAAGAATGTGACTAGATGGCTTCTAAGATCCTCCTAACTCTAAATCTAAGATTCTACACCCAGTGACCCTTAGTACAACTATTTCTGAATGAGCATTTTTTCTAAAATATACCTGACAAGTGACATTCAGCTTTTGCCTGAACACCTCTTGTGAGGGGCCACCTGCTATGTCATCTTATCTTCCAAGAAAGGAAGACCATTCCACTTCTAGACAGCTTAACCATTAGAAACTTTTTCCTTAAAATAATCCCAAATTTTCATCTTTGTAATTTCTACCCACTATTCCTAGGTCTGTCCTCAAAAAAAAAGCAATCCCTCTTGGACGTAAAAAGTCTACAGATATTTGGAGAGAGTTACCAAGGATGTCTCCCTCCCTAAGTCTCCTGATCTCTAGACTAAATATTTCCTACCTAGCATTCATTCCATGAGCATTTTTTTTTCATGCAAAACGTAAGGCCAAGCACTTATCAAATAATGTAGTGTTGTTTTATCCTGGTCTACATATGAACCTTATGTAAATCTTTACATATGCAAAAAAAAATTATTTCAGTACAAAATTTTCACACATTATTTCTTTTCACACATCTTCATTTAATTACTAGCATCACATCTTTGGATACTATTCTACCCATTTAGGAAAAGTAAACTTAGCTTAACCAATTCCAAGTCAAGAACACAATCAGTCATGTGAAGTAGGACACTGAAGTGTAATTTCTACATGAAGCTGGTTAAACAAAAGTTCATCAAAGTTATACATTTACTCACTATTGCTGTCTGATGAAATAGCTACATCTAATCTATAACTGTTCTTGGATCCAATTCTTTCATTAACTGTAGAATCTCCCCAGGCTCAGAACAATCTTCCACCCACACACTTCCTTTTACAAGGTTCTCTAGCCTGAGTAACTGTAAATAAATGGGCCCCAAACTATCTCTTGGGAGCAGATAACAAAAGATTTGTGAAAGATCAGTTCATTTCAGAGTCTCATCCTTTTTTTTTCCACTCTTTCTTACATATAGGATCATACTATCAAGTCTAGCACAGGAAGGAGACTCAAAGAAGCCATCTAAATTCATTTTAACTTTTTTTTTTAGGCAATTAGGGTTAAGTGACAGCTAGTAAGTGTCAAGTGTTTGGTATGAGGCCGAATTTGAACTCAGGTCCTCCTGACTTCAGGGCCGGTGCTGTATAACTGCGCCACCTAGATGGCCCCCAAATACATTTTAAAGATGAGGAAACTGAAACCCAGGAAGATTAAGTGACTCGCCCCAGATCACACAAAAGCAGAATATGAACCCAAATCCTCAGCTATAGTGCCAGTGCTTCTTCTACTACATTATATAGCTTCTCCCTTTGAAAAAGTCAAGTTGACTTGTCCTGGCCTGCAAAACAACCCCTAAGTGCTATCAAGCACAGTAGCTAACACTTGCCTCAGGCCACTCTAGTATCCAGATGCCTCACCAGGGAAGGACAGATTTGTAACAATCACTATGGCAGGGCAGTTTAACAGATCACCTTTAGAAGAACTACAGTAAAGCTGGGATTCTTCCCTACTTAGAAAAATAGATTTCATTTCCTCCAAAATTAGGTTAAGGCAGCATCCCACTGACCCAGAGACTTTTTAATCACTGGTTGGCAAAGCTACTCCTACCTACGCACTTAATAAGAACATTTCACTAACCTTCTTACTTTGCTCTCACAACACACTCTAAAAAGAAAGGTAGAAGCAAATGAATCATGTTAATTGAGTAGAATTACTTACATCTGCCCATATCTTCCAAGCTTCTTTGGCTTTTTTTAATGTTTCTTCATAATCTGCCAGATTGGCCTGGTGGAAGGAATAACCAGGAAGGGGGGCAAGCAGGAAGAAAGGCAAAAGGAAAGGTTACTGATAATCACTCAGACAATACAGATGTATTTTTATATATATGTGGGTGTATTGTGCGTGTGTGCATAAGATGAGAACGCAGATGTACTTTACATACATATATTTTATACATACACATACATGTGTTTATCTGTGTACATATATACTGCACACATGTTTATATGCATATACACATATATATAAATACATATGTATTCCCATTTTTCTAAGATGTTTTAGGTAGTATTTCCCATCTCTGCAAAACAAACAATTTTACAGACCCCAAAGATATATGCTGCGATAAGAGGTTTTTTTAATAAAATAACTTTCACTTCCCCATTCCTAGTCTTGACACTTGCCTCGTCCAAAATAAAACAGATCACAAAGTAATGCACAGAATATAACCATGTTCTCACTAACCTATCTAGTTCTTGCACGGCCTACCAAAAGAAGAGCCTATCTCAAAGTATTTGCTAAATAGCAGACATTCAACAAACATTTATTAAGTACCTACTACATTAAGGGAAATACCAAAAAAAAAGGTGAGATGAAAAATATGCATACACATGGTAAATACATAGCAGATACATGGAATATTTCATTTTAAAAAGAAAGTTCATTTTTAGCTGCAGAATGGGAAGGAAATTAGGGAATGCTTCACATCAGAATATAGCCAAAAGAACATTTATTTCCTTTTTTTTATTGATTTATTATAAATTTAAACTTCAATATTACCTATTTAACTTGTTTGCAATTATTTACAATCAAATAAGTAGATTTCGATCCATGAAATTTCTTTACTTTTGAGTCACTTCCTCAAAGTTGTCTGTCCATTTCCATTCACTTTTCCTCTTATGAAGCTATTGTTAGTATGTACTCTGATATACTTTTGCTTTTTTTCCTGTTTTAAAAAAGTTTTTTTTGACACGTACTAGCTGTGTGACCCTGGGCAAGTCACTTAACCCCAACTGCCTAAAACCAAAAAAAAAAAGGGTTTTTTTTAAGTCTTTCCACATTTCTTGTATTTATTATATTCCTCATATTTGTTGGTCTTTTGTTGGTCTTACTTGCTTTAGCACAGCAATTCAAAAAGTATGGTTCAGGGATCCCCTAGTGATCTCCCAGACCATTTTCAGAGGGTTTACTGACTAATAAACATATTAAATACTTACTACATGTCTCAGGCATTATGCTAATCCACAGATACAAAGACAAAAATAGGATCTCAAGGAACTCACAAACAGGGGAAACAACTTGCAAACAATTATGTACAAATAACCCATATGCATAATAAATTAGATATAATCAACAGAGGGAAGGCACTAACATTAAGGAAGATTGGGAAAGGCTTCCTGTAGAAGGTGGGATTTTAGCTGGGATCTGAAGGAAGCCGGAAGCCAGGAAGCAGAGATGAGGAAAGAGAGCAATTCAAGCATGGGGGACAGACACTGAAAATTCCCAAAGCTGAGAGATGGAGTCTCTTGTTCAAGGAACAGCAAAGAAGCCACCATCACTGGATCACACAGTACATGGAAGACATAAAAAGACTGGAAAGGTAAGAAATACCCAGTTATGAAGGGCTTTGAAACCAAAAAAAAAAGAATTTTATATTTGATACTGGAGGTGATGGGGGGCTCCACTGGAGTTTACTGAGGATAGGTACCACACTGTGCTTGAGGAAAATAATTTTGATAGCTGAGTAGATGATGATGGACTAGGGAAAAATCTGTGATAGGGGAAGTCAACTAGCATGTTATTGTAATAGACCAAGCATGAGGTGATAAAGTCCTACACCACAGTGATGACAGTATTAGAGGAGAAAAGGGGGCATATGTGAGAGATGTTATTAAGGGGTAGAAAGTACTATTTTAAGTTCTATTACAGCAATTATCAGTACATATAAATAAAAGCTCTTTGGGAGGTCCCCAATAATTTTTAAAAGTATAAAGGGGTCCTAAGACCAAAAAGTTTGAGAATCACTGCTTTAGATTCTATTGCATTACTCTACCAAATGAAATGACATACACACACACATACACACACACCACTTTGTAAATCTTAAAGGTAAATGCTTACACCTTAAATGCTACTATTATTACTATTATTATTATTATTATTATTATTATTATTACCACCACCACCACAATTTAAGCACTCCCCTTCTTGTGACACAGTAAAGTTAATTTCAGTTTTTTGCAATTATGGTTAAGAAAATCTTTTTAAAAACTCTATCCAATTTTTGTTAGTACTCTCGGGGCATATTTCTAATAATGGAATTACTGGGTTAAAGAATATGATTAGTTTTGCAACTTTTACTGTGTTGCAAATTGCTCTCCAGAAAGATTTTACTACTTTAATTCTTTTTGCCAATGAATGCCTCCACTATTTAATTTACATTAATTAGTGAGGTACTGTTGTACAATTTTCAAAAAGGTATTAACAATTTGCATTTTCTCATTTGAAAACTGACATTCATATATATTTTTACCATTTAACTATTTTAGAGTTACCTCTGTAAATTTTTTAAAGTTTTTATGTATTTGGGACATTATTTTCATATTTGTTAAATATTTCAAAAGTTTCATTTATACTGACATGTTGTACAGAACTGTTTTATTTATTAGCTGCAATAGGTGGTGAAGTACAGTATGCAAATGTGGCCTCAGACACTTAGCTGTGTGACTCCAGGAATATAACTTAAGGTCTGTCCACCTCAGTTTCCTCAACTGTATCTCCCAGGAATGTTGTGAGGATCAAATGGGAAAATATTTGTAAAATAGCCATGCTTAATAAACATTTGTTTCCTTTCTATTAAAGCATGCCTATCTTATTCAATTTGTTTAATAGAAACAAAGTTATGAGATAAATAAGTTAGTCTCATTTCTTCCATTTTCATTGCATTTTTTCAACATTAAGCTAGAATTCACTCAATTATATGCTGTGAGATAAGTTCAAATCTCCAGCCAAATGACTAGCTAATTTTCTCCAAATGCATTTGTTACAAAATAAATCCTTTTCCTAATTTTTATGTTCTCTGGGGTTTAATTAAAATATTTATCCTTTGCATACATTTTTTGGAATGCCTAGTATCTCTAGTCCATTCTCTCGATCTAGTTATCTATTTTTTGCCCAGTGAAAGATAGCACTTTTAGTTCCTAATAAATGCCAAATTAAAAAAATATATAAGTATCATGCTCTGCTTTGAGTATTTTCAATATTAATTACCACATGCCCTGAATAAGCCTAAAGAATTCATACACTCAAAAAGAAAGAATAAACTAATGGTACACTCACCTGACGGACTCTTGCTATAGGCTCATTGTTAGCTGGGCAGTAGCTTGTAACAACCTTTAAAAAAAAAAGTCTGGTTAGATTATGCTATCCAAAAAAGATAAAGGGGTGGAATGGGGGTGGATGGGAGAGAGGGAGTGTAAATTCAAGATAAACCAACAAATGTAATCTTAGCCATCTGGAGTAAGTTTTCCCAGACTTCTCTGCTGGAATTACAGCCGTTCCTTATTGAAAGCACTGATTATTTGGTAGGTTCCTTTCTGGTTAACGTTTCAAACATAGTACCTAGCTTTTAAGTTCACTTTAAAAACACATACGCTCCCAATATGCCTCTTACTTTCCTTTTTAGTATTTAATACTAATTATGCAAGAAGCATCTTAGTCCAACCTCACCATTTTTACAAAAGAAAAAATTAAGTCCTTGAAGCTGTAACACTCCCAAGGCCATGACGGCCTCTGAGCAACAGAATGGAATTTTGAACCCAGGGGCTCAAATTGCTGCTTTACTCTGGGAATTCTGCAACCTTAGGGCTGCTCTCTTTAAAAGAAGGTAATAAATAACCTCCCAATTCCGTCTCATAAAAGAAAAGGTTCAATAGGTCCAAAAAGACCTTTTAAACGTTAAGCACTTCTGAAAAGAGGCATAAAAATTCCCTATAGTTCTTTCTAGAGCATTTCACAGCCTAAGAGCCATACTAAGGCTGAAAAAGGGCTATTTCCTCAAGTAGGCGTATTGCACACAGATCCTTCCGCAAAAACTTGGGTTTGCACTAAATTTAAACAAATATTTACATGTCTTCCTATGGGTTCCAGAACCTAAAATTTACAGAGGTTAAAAAAAAGGGTATGACCATTACAATGACATTACAATAACAAAAACTCAGATGATACTTATAATGCAACTACAACACAAAAGAACAATGATTTTTTGCAAAACAGAGAAGAGTCATGGCCTCCGGACCGTTCTTAAAAAATCAAAGATCAGATTTCCATGCTCTCCTCGCTTACCTCTCCTCTTCCACCCCAGGTCCCATTATACACGCCTTCATTTTCTTCTTTGAGTCCCAGATCTTTCAACCAGGAATACTGGGGCTGATTGATGAGCAAAGCAGACATACGGGCAGGAGGTTTGTGCCAGTATCTTAAGATATTCCTCCTTCCTAGAATGATTTGCCGAGAAAGAGAAAAGGCTAGGGGTAGCATAAGGAACAGATTAAAGCTGCATGCAAGACAAGGAAGCTGTTAAAGGAAGCCCACCAGGTTCCAATTGGTCAGCCCAGAGCGCCACCTCCCTCGCACATCGGGCCAAATCAGCTTTTTCTGAACCCGCTCAACCAGATTTTCTTGTTGCTGAGAAAATCTGAGCATCTCCGATGGAAAAACTTCACGAGATTCTGAGAGAAAATAAATTGGTTACTGCCATCTACCGTTTAGAATAACAAAGCACTTAAAGGTATTTCAAAACCGAGACTCTTTCCGGCCGCCCCCCCCAAAAGAATTTGCTATCAATCAACAAGCCTTTAATTATTAAGTGCCTACTATGGGCCTGGCATCACGTTAAGCTTTGGATACAAAGAAAAGCAAAAACAGCCTCTACCCTCAAAGAACTTGTACTTCTAATAGGGAAGATAACATGGAAGTAACTAGAAAGATACAAGATATGTACAAAGTAAATGGAAGGTAATCTCAAATAATAGGCTCTGCCTGAGGGAGAGTGAGGACCAGGAAGTACCTCCTGCAGAAGGTAAAATCAGAACTTAATCCTGGTGGAAGCTACTAGGTCAAGAGGCCGAGTTCCAGGCCTGAGGAGCAACTGCTGCAGAAGCACAAAATTGGAGATGGCTTGTTCTGTTCAAGAAACAGAAAAGATCGTAGAGTGGGTAGACAGGAGTAAAGTGCAAGAGAACTGAAAAAAATAGGAAGGGACCAGATTGTGAAGGGCTTTAAATACTACATGGGATTTTGTTTTTGAAGTAATAGGGAACTACTGGAATTTCTGATTAGGGAAGTGACATAGTTAGACGTGTGTTTTAGGAAAATCACTTTGGAAACTGAGTGGAAGAGATTTGGGGAAGGGAAATTTCAATAGTCCTGGGAAAAAGCGATGAGGCTTGTACTAGAGTGATAGCCTTATGAGTTTGAAAAAGGGGACACATATTAGAGATGTTGCAAAGGTAGAAACTACAACACCTAGCAATAGATTGGTTATGTTGGGTGAGTAAGGATAAGGAAGCTAGATAAGATAACACCAAGTAGTGTTGGACCTAGCATCAGGAAGTTGTTTTGGGGGCAGCTAGGTGGCATAGTGTATAGAGCACTGGCCCTGGATTCAGGAGGACCTGGGTTCAAATGTGGCCTCAGACACATCACACTTACTACTTGTGTGGTACTGGGCAAGTCACTTAACCCTGCTGCATAGACAAAAAAAAAAAGAATTTGTTGGGTTTTTTTACATTTTACTGATGAGGAAACTGAGGCAAACAAGGTTAAGTGACTTGCCTAGGGTCACACAGCTAGTAGGTATCTGAGAACAGATTTGAACTCATGAAAATGAATCTTCCTAGGGGGGTGGAGCCAAGATGGCGGAGTGAAAGCAGGGACTTGCTTGAGCTCTCCTCCAAACCCCTACAAATACTCAGAAAAAATGGCTTTAAACAAATTCTGAATCAGCAGAAGCCACAAAAAGACAGAGTGAAACAAATTTCCAGCCCAAGACAACCTGGATGATCGATCAGAAAGGTGCATCACGCCCGGCTGGGAGCACAGCACAGCACAGCGTGGCGTGGGTGCGCAGGCCACAGCGAACCAGGAACAGGCCTCAGAGGACTGAATCTCAGGCAGCTGTGGAGGTTTCCAGACTCCTCAATCCACCAATGCCAAAGACAACTTAGAAGGTCAGTGGGAAAAGTCTGTTTCTGTAGGTGCTGAGAAAGGAAGGCAGGGTTTCAGCTCCATTCCCCAAGAGCTTGTGGGGGGGGGCAGCTGTTTCCTGAGCCTCCCGCACACAGACTGAGGGGGAATCCAGTGGCTGATCAGAGAGGGATTGCAGGGATCTCTTTGCCAGTGCTGAGGCAGGAATCTCTTGCTTTGCCCGTGTTTGGATCTGGGTCACAGTTCTGGGCAGGTGCTGGGGTGAGGAGGAGCGCTGGCTTGGTGGAGCTTGTAGTGGCTGTGGAGAGGAACCCCTCCTCACAGTTACAGGACAGAAAGGAGTACTTGTAGTCACAGGCCAGGAAAGGAGTAAACACCTCGCCCCACCTTGGAAGAACTGAAAATTTACAGGTCCCTACAAGTATCTCTGAAAACAGCTATACAAACCCCCGAAGCTTGGGACAGTACATTCTCCACATTGGAAGCAGACTCTTACCTTAACAAAGAGTTTAAAACTCAAGTAATTGGCTGGGATCATGAGCAAGCAGCGCAAAAAGAGTCAGACTATATTATCTTACTTTGGTGAAAAAGAAGATCAAAATATACAACCAGAAGAAGACAACAAAGTCAAAGCTCCTACATCCAAAGCCTCCAAGAAAAATATGAATCAGTCCCAGGCCTTGGAAGAGCTCAAAAGGGATTTGAGAAGCAAGTAAGGGAAAACTAGAAGAAAATGAGAGTGATGCAAGAAAATCTCAAAAAACAAGTCAACAGCTTGCTAAAGGAGACCCAAAAAAAATACTGAAGAAAATAACACCTTAAAAAATAGCAAAAGAGGCCCAAAAAGCCAATGAGGAGAAGAATGCCTTAAAAAGCAAAATTGGCCAAATGGAAAAGAAAGTCCAAAAGATTACTGAAGAAAATACTTCCTTAAAAATTAGAATACAGCAATTGGAAGACAGTGACTTTATGAGAAATCATGACACAGTAAACAAATCCAAAAGAATGAAAAATTAGAAAACAATGTGAAATATCTCATTGGAAAAACAACTGACCTGGAAAATAGATCCAGGAGAGAGAATTTAAAAATTATTGGACTATCTGAAAGCCATGATCAAAAAAAGAGCCTAGACATCATCTTTCAAGAAATTATCAAGGAAAACTGCCCTGATATAGTAGAACCAGAGGGCAAAATAGAAATTGAAAGAATCCACAGATCTCCTCCTGAAAGAGATCCCCAAAGGAAAACTCCCAGGAATATTGTAGCCAAATTCCAGAGTTCCCAGGTCAAGGAGAAAATATTACAAGCTGCCAGAAGGAAACAATTCAAGTACTGTGGAAACACAATCAGGATAACACAAGATTTAGCAGCTTCTACATTAAAGGACCGCAGGGCATGGAATATAATATTCCAGAGGGCAAAGGAGATAGGATTACAACCAAGAATCACCTACCCAGCAAAACTGAGTATAATCCTTCAGGGGAAAAAATGGTCATTCAGTGAAATAGAGGACTTTCAAGCATTCTTGATGAAAAGACCAGAGCTGAATAGAAAATTTGACTTTCAAATACAGGACTCAAGTGGAACATGAAGAGGTAAACAGGAAAGAGAAATCATAAGAGACTTATTAAGATTGAACTGTTTACATTCCTGCATGGAAAGATGATATTTATAACTCATGAGACCTTTGTCAGTATTAGGGTAGTTGGAGGAAAAAAATTATATGTATGTATATGTAGATAGATAGAGGGCACAGGGTGAGCTGAAGATTAAAGGGTCATATCTGGAGAATAAAATTAAGGGATGAGAGGGGTTTATACTCGGAGAAGAAGAAAGGGAGAGGTAGAATGGGGTAAATTATCTCACAAAAAAAACAGAAAAAAAAAGTCTGTTACAGTGGAGGAGAAACAGGGGAAGGTAAGAGGGAATGAGTGAATCTTATTCTTATAGGATTTGGCTTAAGGAGGGAATAACATACACATTCAATTGGGTATGGAAATCTGTCTTACCCTACAGGAAAATAGGGGGAGAAGGGGACAAGAGAGCAGGGGGATGATAGAGAGGAGGGCAGATTGGGAAAGGGTGTAATCAGAAGTAAATACTTCTGAGGAGGGACAGGGCAAAAAGAAAGAATAGAACAAATGGGAGGGCAGGATAAAATTAAGGGAAATAGAGTTAGTTTTTCACAACATGTCTACTATGGACGTGTTTTGCATAACTGCATATATACAACCTATGTTGAGTTGCTTGCCTTTTCAATGAGGGTGGGTGGGGAGGGAGGAAGAGAGAAAATTTGAAACCTAAAGTTTTAAAAACATGTTTAAAAAAATGTTTTCACATGCTACTGGGAAATAAGAAATACAGGAAATGGGGTACAGAAGTCTATCCTGCCCTATAGGAAAATAGAAGGGGAAGGGGATAAGAGAAGGGGAGAGAGATAGAAGAGAGGACAGACTAGGGGAAGGGATATTCAGAATGCATGCCATCTTGGGGTGGGGGGAGCAGGGAGATGGGGTGAAAATTTGGAACTCAAAATCTTGTGGAAGTGAATGTTGAAAACTAAAAATAAATAACTTTTTATTAAAAAAAAATGAATTTTCCCGATTCCCAGCCCAATGCTCTTACCTGTGTTCAAGTCCAACCTCAGGCAATTACTACTTGTGTGACTGAAAATTGATCCTGAGATTGATATAGCCTTTGTGGCAACCTTGTGAGTTTGAGAAGGGGAGAACTTCTGGATCCAGATGCTGGTTGTTCAGTGAGAAGTAACCTCTAAAACAAATTCTCTGAAGAGAAAATTACTGTTTCTAGAAGGATAATCCCAAAACATTCTCTAGCTTCCCAGGAGATATGGATGTTAAGTGATTTGCTTGGACAGAGTAGAGTTGAGCTGAATACCTGTTCTACTGTCCCAGAAATTGTTTCACTCAATAAATAAACATTTATTAAGTACCTACTATGTGCCAGGTGCTGACATTGTGCTAAGTGCTGAGGATACAAATAAGGAAAAGAAAGCTAGTCCCTGTCCTCAAGGACATAAATGGAAGCTGAAAATTGATGCAGAGTAGAGAGAGAAGGTACTCAGCAGGAGTGGAAGCATGCTTGGAGGTTTTATTTCATCTTCTAAGTATCAAGTCCCCATGAGAATTTCACGTATGATGGGTTACTGCAAGATGTTTTAAGTATTTGTAAATGTTTGTCTTTTATGTTTTAAGCATGTTTTTTGTGATGGACAAAATAAATAGCTGTCCTGTAGCTGATCTACTTTGTACATTAACTACCTTTATAGAGAGGACCCCATTAATCCATTTGGAGAAGACCCAAGATATGAATCAATCCTAAATTTTAAATAAGTTTTCCTAGAGCTCAGGGGTGGTAG